AATAAACCCAGCCATGGCTTTCACCAACTTTATGAAAAGGAAAGAAAGAAAACTGAAGGAAAAGTAAAAAAAAAAAAAAAAAAAGAAAAAACGAGAGCATGTATTCTTAACTTTTTTGGGTCATGGACTTCTCCAAATAAAACATCTAAATTTTTGATGTAATGATAAAGCAATAATTCAAGATAGTGGAAGCAACCGTAAGTAATATGAAAATACTTGTGATTTTTACAGGTGATAAAAGCACAGATACTGCTAATATTGCTGAAATTTATGGCCAATAATCAATACTGAAGGAAATACTACTTTTCAATTAGAGATTAATAAACAGAAAGATTAAAATTTTTTTCACCCAAACTTACATGTCACCTGAATTCTATCCCTGAAACCCTTGAATTCCAGTTGCAGAATTTCTGCACTGGGGACATACCAAGCCCAATGTTTATCTTCTTAAATGTAAGATAGAATTGAAATATTAGCTCCTTTAAATTTTCTGAATTATGGTAAAAATTAACTTGCTGTTACAGTTAAGAAAACAAGTACAGTTTTGCTCCTTCAAGCAAAGTAAAATGAAAAGCAATTATTTTTATTCTCTTACAAAGTTTTTTCTAGTGTGACTTCTCTACATTGTTAACGAAATACTATGTCTTTTCTCCACTTTTCCAGAATTTTATTTTCAAATTCACCTATGTTGATATACTTCTAGGATAAACCACAGTAACATTTGGTTACAAACATTACATGTAACAGAAAATTTTAGACAAGAAAGGAATGAGGATACAGTTTTGTTGTCATTGACCTTACTGTGTTTTACCAAATCCTTGTTCCAGTATAATGATTTTAAAGTTGAAACCACAAGAATGTGTGTAGTCAACAACGAAAATTATACTCTGCCAGTTTTTCTTGCTGAAATCTCCGTACTAAATAGTACAGAAGAAAAATCCAGCCACTTTTCAATGCTAAGGGATCTCCCCCTTGTGCCTAAACTTTGTATTGAACTCAAGCAGGATTGAAAGTCATCAGCATATATTGTGAATTTTTTTTTAAAAGAAAGGCAAAAAGTGACTGTGCTTCTCATATAAAGCAATTACTCAATGTTGAGAGTTTGGGGCTAAAAGCCTAATACACGCCTAATAGAAGCAATTATTTCAAAGGACTAGAATAATTGGGTGGCTTCAAGCAATTCTCAGTAACTGAAGACTTGCAAATCTTAGTGGGTACTGGTTGTCTGACAATGTTCCTATCAGCTTCCTTGATGATAGCAAAGATTTTGGACAATCTATATAGCAAAATAAAATACAATCTAGCTATATAATGAAAAGTTTGCAGTCATTAAAAATCACATTTTGAAGAATTTTTAACAAATGGGAAACTGGGCACAATATAATATTGAAGGTATAAAAAGCAGTATTCAAAGATGCATACATTTGTGCAAAACTCCCAATTATATAACATGGACATAGTCAGTGGCTGCCCCCCAAAAGTGTACAACTAGTGGAAATCAACATTCTAGAAGTGTCTTCCACAAGAACAGATTTTCCTTTCTATATTCTGAAAGGTCTGAGAGTGGGGGAATGTGACCCGGCAAAGAAAAGCAGGAAGGTAGGAGAACAAGGTCAACAGTGGTCTCTGATGAGATGGCTGAGAGTCCGCCAGTTCCCCAGGCAACAGTTCCCTATAATTTACAGATGAAGGGAAGAGGTTCAAGAGGTTCGTGGACTATTCAGGTGCCAGACCTCTAGGGGGCGCCAGACTGTTGATATCTTCCAGCATGACTCCCCAGGGAATCTGGCTTTGGGATTGAATGTAGTTCAAGTTGACCAGAAATAACTTCTCCTTTTCCAGTAAAATGGTGAGAATGTGACTTAGGTCATGGACTTAATAGGAGACCAAGGATTGTAAATCAAATATTTATGAGTCCCAGATCATTATTGATCATTATGAGTCCCAGGTCATCCTGCTATCCAAAAGTCTTCCATTCCCCCACCAGGGAAAAATTATGACAAACGAGGGCTTCCCTAGTGGCTCAGAGAAAAAGAATCCGCCTGCGATACAGGAGACTGAGGTTCACTCTCTGGGTCAGGAAGATCCCCTAAAGAAGGAACTGGCAACCCACTCCAGTATTTTTGCCTGGAGAATCCCATGGACAGAGGAGCCTGGTGGGCTATATGCCATGGGGCCACAAAGAATCAGACATGACTGAGCAACTGAACACAATATCAATTACTTAAAAACGGGGGAAAACATTTTTTTAAATTTAAACAGTACAAACCCGCTTTTTCTTAGAAATGTAAAAAATATGTCTAGGCATGGAGAAAGCAATACACCAAAATCTTAACAGGAGTACTGGTGGCAGTGGAACAACGTCATCATTTTTCTCATTCTCCCCCCTGCCTTACTCACTTTCTATAATGTGAAGGTATCACTTATCATACTGTATCAAGGTATTATATCAAGTATCAAGGTCTCATACTGTGAATGTCAGACATTGCATGGGCACTTTACCAAGGTAATAAAGCACGCACGTGTAGAAGTATTCAGTCTCCTAGACGCCCCCCACCCCAACTCAGTCCAGCAAAAATAGTCAAGAGGGGAGAAAGTTTTGTGGAGTTAGAGGCTTGAGAACAAGACTCAGTGAAGGCTTGGGCAGAGAGAGCTATTAGGAAAATGAGCAGGAGAGGGAATTTTAATAAATCTAACTCTGACTGTAGTTTCAACTCACCCTCCTGCTTCTGCTGCTGCTAAGTCGCTTCAGTCGTGTCCGACTCTGTGCGACCCCATAGATAGCAGCCCACCAGGCTCCCCCATCCCTGGGATTCTCCAGGCAAGAACACTGGAGTGGGTTGCCATTTCCTTCTCCAACGCATGAAAGTGAAAAGTGCAAAGTGAAGTCGCTCAGTCATGTCCGACTCCTAGCAACCCTGTGGACTGCAGCCTACCAGGTTCCTCCATCCATGGGATTTTCCTGGCAACAGTACTGGAGTGGGTTGCCATTGCCTTCTCCTCACTTCACTCTAGGATTTTCTTAAAACCTAAGCAGAGTTTGAACTACATTGGTATTGCTTTTTGCAGTGGGAATTTCTTTTCTAGAAATAAAACTTTGAGGTTAAACAATGTGGATTCTGGCCATTAAAGAGTTCAGAAGGATTACTGAATTTTTATCAAACACCAAAATGCCACCTCAAATCCGAGAGGTGGGTCATCCCAAGAAATCTTGTTCATTTGCTGTTTAATCAAAAAGTAACATAAATCTATGGTGTGTGTGCGTGAGTGCTCCTCTGTACCTATGCCAAACACACAGACGCTCAGTTGTGGCTGACTAGGCGACCCCATGGACTGGGGCCTGCCAGGCTTCTCTGTCCATGGAATTTTCCAGGTAAGAATACTGGAATGGGTTGCCATTTCCTGCTCCAGGGGAATCTTCCTGACCCAGGGATCAAACCTATTTCCTGTCTCCTGCATTGGCAGATGGACCCTACCACTGGCCCATGTGTGGTATAACCACCATTTTCTACCTATTTACCTGCCCTTCTTCCATATTTTTATTGTAATATACCTACAAGATACTGAATCTATGTCTTGCAATATACCTGTAAGATACTGGATCTATATCTTGGTGAAAAAGTGTTGCATAAAATTTACAGACTGCTTTATCCAGGAGTTACTTCATACTTAACCAAGTATGTTACCGTTAAGCAGTGGAAGCAATTGAAGATGCCATTTCGGGAGTGTTTTCCAAGATCACTCACCTCTTCAGTGGAAAATTCACCCTCAGTTGACCTCAGAGCCTCAGCCTCCTCCTCCAGGCTCCTCTGTACCTATGCCAAACACACAGAGGCCAAACTTGCTGGGGCAGAAACAGCTGGGGAACTGGGAGAAGACTCTAGGCAGAGCCCTGTCTTTTAGGCGGGATGAAAATGGTCTGAAAGTAGATTGTGGTCATGGTGGCATAACTCTGTGAAAATACTAAATCTTAACAGGAGTACTGGGGGTAGTATACTGGGGTACACTTTATAGAGTTCATCTTTAATCTTCCCTTCTTGCCCTTCCCACACTGAAAGATAAAACCAATGAGACTTTTGATACAATTTACAATTCATTTTATTATTCTGGTACAAGAAAACATGTCCAGATATATTTTCAATTTCAGTTGCAAAACAAACTGACCTGGAATTTACAGTCTTTAATATAACTGTGATCGCCAATAAATGCGCAAGATTATAAAAAGTGAATTAACTCGTCGGTAGTACAAAGTCTACGCAGAAGAATCTTTTATATCTAACACATTTTTTTAAGACTGCACAGCAATTCTGTTCATTTAAAACACATGTGTGTTAAAATAGGATATTTCAGCTGATTATGGAGATCACAAACAGAATGTAAAGATAGTACATTTCCTCAAGTACTAATTGTTTTATTCTGCTCAATCTTGAGTTTCTGATCACCCTTTCCACAGATCAAAATACAAATGCATGCAAATAATAGATATAGAAATGAAAGAAAATCCAATAACAAAATTAAGAATTATAATAACTTATGAGGTAAGTTTTACTTTCACGTGTTCAGATATCAGTTAAGAAATGCCTCTCTTTACAAAGCATATTTAAGATGTACACTATATTGTCACTGAGCCCTTAGAGCCCAAAATCAAGTAAAATTTCATGCCTCCTAGAACATTAAATACCATGCAGCATAGTATTTTTTAAAAATGTTAACTTTTAAAGCAGAATTGACTTCTATTTCTGCCCAATTAAGTTCATTAAAATCATTTGAAATGATACATTTAATTTGAAATAAGTTACTGAAATTCCAACATCAGAGTTAAGTATTTGTAACCAGTGTAATCCACCTAGCCCCAAAACAATGTAGTGGGGCAACGCGCTCAAACAAGAAAGCATCGGAGAGTGTAAATGACCACCAAGAAGCTACGCTTCCCAGGGCTTTGCTGGGGCTGCCGACTGTCGGTCAGATCCTCCTACATAACTGAAAGCTCCTACACCAAGTCAGAGGGGACCATCAAACTGAAATACTCCATATTTCCCAGTGGTCAGCCAGTTGGGCTCAGAAGCTGTGAGCTGTTCACCTTGCCCGGGCTGCAGACCAACCTGAACCTCAGCCTTTAATGTTCTAATGCTGCACAGAGGTGCAGGGTGGAAGCCGCTCAATGCCTCATGAAATGGAATGGTAAACTCCCATCTTCTGTCACCCGTCAGCTTCCTATAATTCAAGTCACCCTTGAAGAAAATTAAATGTGCCTTTTGTAGTGCAGCATGTAAGTCAGGAGCGACCTGAGACATGGTACTGAAATCATGAGGCAGAGTCCAAAATATATGATCGAGGTAAACCCATCTGCCCGTTTTAATATGGTCTTCCCAGTCAACCCCACACTGGGACACCCACTTATTATTAGAATGCTTTAGTTGTTTGATTATCCAATTAAAATCATGTAGAGTAGTATCAGAAACAAACCATGGAATCGTTTTCCCATAAAAATGGATCTTAGTAGCCAGTTTAGAGGACAACAAGAATTCAGCTAATACTAAGTCTGTAATAAGTTCAAACCCAGAATTATCCAGAACAATATCCACTCGAGTAACAGATTCTTTTTGTCTTGTTTTCTTGTAATTGCTTAGCAATGACCAAAGACGATCCATGTCGTTCACTAAAATGAAAGGTTTTAGGTCTTCTAATGAATTCATTATATTGGTCTTCTGAGAAATACGTTCCCCACCTGATAGAGACAGATCACACTTATTTCCCCACAGTGAAATCTGAAAAAGAAAAAGCACAATACATGTACCCTTCTTTTGAATAACTAATAAAAAAAACTCTATTATGTAAGATGTAATGGGAGGAAGGGTTGCTAAAAAATGTTCATATGAAGCTCATTTCTATGTTCATTGCTATGAAGCTCAATATAAAATGCCCATCCAATCTACACTTTCTCTAATAATGCTGCATAAAAAAGCTGTGGCCTCTACTTTCAAAGTATATCCAGAGTCTCGTGACCTATACCGCCTCTGATGCTGCCGGCTCAGTCCAGGCCTGAGTCGTTTCAGTAACAGAGCTACTTATTTCTATGCTTGTTTCAGTCTATTTGCAGAAGTAATCTTTGACCTAAGTCATGTTATGCTACTCCTCTGATTAAAACCTTCTAACAGCTTCTCGTTTCAGCATGAGTAAAAACCAAAGTCCTTGCCTTTGCTCCAGGGCACCCTGGCTTCTATGCGGGTCCCTGCAGCCCCTCTCCTTTCTGCTCCTCATTTCCTGAAGCCTCTTCCCCCCTAGTGTCTCTCTGCTGTTAAATGCATACCAGTTTACTTTTCAACTGTTTAAATAGACAACAGACTCAGGAGAATTATTATATTTACCTGAAGAATTTTTAAAAATTCATTTTTCAGTTGATTTTCATCTAGGTCTTCAATAGTTTTCCTCAACTCTTGCAGGTGAGTACATAAGGCAATGACAGATTCCTGAGATTCAAAGAAATTTTGGTCTTTCAATTCTTTAAATATATCAAAGTCATCGATTGGTGGACTAAAGTAGGAAAAAAAAATAAGTGAGACATTTCTATAACTCTGTACCTTTTTTTAAACATTTGAGTAATTGCAGTTTTTTAAAGAGAATGATAGCAACCCATCCAAAAAATTAGTGGTGATTTTTATTAGGTATAACACAGACAAGTTACACAAAAATAATCAATTTACACTAACTAAATAAAATTAAATAAATTATGCAAAAATAAATACCCAAACTCATTTTAATTAGTTGTCAAATATCCTGGAAGTATTAAATAATTATGGGGACTGTATCCATAATTATTTATCCGGTGGGTTTTTAGGATAAAGGGGAAAGAGAAACAGAATTTCATGACAATTGCTTTAGTTTCACAAACATTTTTTCGGGTGCTCAGTGTGGTTCAGGCTCCAAATAACAAACATGTGGATATAAACAGAATAAATGAATGCAATGTAGTAAATGTAAAAGAGTCAAACACAGAATATTACAGGAACCCAATGACTACCTGCTATAAAGCAGACAGCACTAATGTAAATCTTATTCTAATGACAAATTTTCATCATTTATGTGTAGATTTCCAATTTTTTAGCAACTTTTACTCCCAAGTTGACTTTGACCAATGGTGATGGATGTTCTGTGGCTACATATTCATGCTGAGGTCAGATAATACTGGCCTAAGAAAAATGTAACTCAGAAGGTATACATACTAGCATAACAGACTTTACAGAATCAAATGTAAAGACATTCAGATCATCTGATCTTCAAAATGAGCTACTTTTTCCAGGGGTCTCCTAACTTAGGATAAAAAGGCAATATGGCAGATGCAATGAGACTGATTAAGATCAAAACCAAAAACATACCAGAATTTACACACCCCATTGATGGCTGCCTCCCCCCAGTCAGTGAATCAGCCTGGAAAGCTACACCCTTAGCCCAAGAATGCTGCCATTGCTCAAAGCACTTCTGGAATTCCTCTTTGGGAATTTTCCTCAGAACCTGTTATTAAATGTACTGTCAGCGATGAGTATTTTCATGCTTTGGAGTTAATCTGTTTTTGGAAACAGCCAAAAGTCACTCAAAGCAATTTCAGTAGAATGAAGCATGTAAATCAAATGGAATAAAACATTTTTGGTCAAAAATGAGGAGTGACTAAATAATAATGAGACTAATCTCATTTTGAGGTTTGTCAACTGGCTCTGAAAGAATTAATTAATAAGAATAATTAATTTTAATTCTTTCAAAGAATTAAAAGACTTTTTTAGCAATGCTGAAATCAATCAGTCTCTCAAGGTGAGAAAGGGATAAATGTATTTGGATGCATGGGTTCCACTGCAGGGGTCAGCAAACTGCAGCTTGGCAGGCCCTCTCTGGCCCACCATCTGTTTTATATGATCTGCAAGCTCAGAATGGCTTGCACAGTTTTAAAGAGTTGGAAAAATATTTAAAAAGATTTTGTGATACACAAAGTTCAAATTTCAGGGTCCATAACTCTGCTGCTCTATCAGAACACAACCACGTTCACTTACATACTGCCTACAGCTGCTTTGGCACCGCTAAAGCTGAGGAGAAGCAACAAAGACCATGAGTCCCCAGAGCCTAGAGTACTGACCGACTGGCCCTTTACAGACACCTCTGCAGACCCTTGTCTGGCCTTGTGGCACAGCATGTGGGATTTCCGCTCCCCAACCAGGAACTGAACCTGGGCCCCTGCAATGAAGTGCAGAGTCTTAACCAGTGGACTGCCAGGGAGATCCCTTGAGACCTGTTCCTTATATTTTAAGAGAGCAAACTCACATAGCTACAAATGATTTCAGAGATTTTAAAATGTTTGCCATTTTACAATCTACTAGAGCTGTATATGTGTACAAACTTGACCCAGGAGTCCACTCCTAAGTATATACCCAGCAGAAATACACACAGATGTTCACCAAGAATATGTGCTTGAATGTTTGTGGATCCAAAGGCGGTGTGTGGGGGCCTAGAGTTCTGCCTTCTGATCCGGCCACTAGGGACACATGTTCCGGTGAAGACTGCTGAACACTTAAGAAATATGCACTATTCAGCATGTATATCACACTTTAATAAAAGCTTGAAAATGTATGCCATTTTCTCCTTATTTTCATTTTTCAGTATCTGAAGCATATTTAAATTTTACATATGGTTAAAACTTTGAATCTTAATTTGCAGACTATTCAACCACTTAACTCTAAAAAACCCAAAATATACATCTTGACAAAGAAAATTCAAAATATGTTTCAGTATGAGGGGCAAAGTCATCAGAAACATATCTTAAAGCTAACGTGGGCTTTGTGCACATGTGTGCTAAGTTGCTTCTGTGGCATCCATACTGTTTTTGACCCTACGGATTATAGTCCGCCAGGCTCCTCTGTCCATGGGATGCTCTAGGCAAGAATACTGGAATGGGTTGACATTTCCTCCTCCAGGGGATCTTCCCGACCCAGGGATCAAACCTTCACCTCTTACGTCTCCTTCATAGGCAGGTGGGTTCTTTACCACTAGTGACACCTGGGCAGCCCCTATGTGTGCTTTGGGATCCTGGAGAAGCTAGAAAGATAGTTCTTTGGTCACTCTGGACGGGTCACTGACCCAGGATAGGAATTCTTCATATAAGAAGCCTAACAAGTTGGACACTTAAAAACTACTTCAAGGGTAGGAATAAATCAGGAGTATGGGATTAACAGATACAACTACTATACATAAGATAGATAAGCAACAAGGATTTACAGTATAGCACAGTGAACTATATTCAAAATCTTATAATAACTTATAATGGAAAATAATCTATGTGTGTATACACACACACACACACACACACAGAGATGTATATGAATCACTTTGCTATACACCTGAAACTAACACAGTACTATCAACCACTATACTTCGATTAAAAAAACAACTTCTTCAGTGCTAGTTCCTCTGTAGGATAGCCCTTCTTTGTACTACCTATACCCTGAGCATCAGACAAATACCCAAATCTTCAAATATTTGCCAAAGAGACCCCGTGAGGAGAGTTCCACACCGCTGACCCACTAATGTTCCCGTTCCCGGAACTTCAGGCTGAGTGTTGCCTCGATCCCTGTCACCAAGATGCTGCTGGACCAACGGGCGCCAGCGCGGGCTGGGCAGAATCTCCCTGGGGCGCCAACGGGCAGGCCCCACGGTGGACACATTTCACCATGAGGATTCAATGTAACAATTTCCAAACCTGCATATTTAAAAACAAACCAAAAAACCTTTGCCCAACTGGCTGACAAGCAGCTGGGTTTGTAAGCTTCTGTCCTCAGTTTTTCACTCTGAACTAGATCCACCTCCAGAACTCAGAAGCAGCATTCCTTTCACTTTTCTAACATCCGAATTCCTCTAAGCTGCTCAGGGTGCCACTCAGTGTTTCAACATTTCAGCAGCTTTGTCTGATACCATGGGTGCTTTCCAGAGTTATGAAACCATCACCCAGAACGTCAGACTAACCTTAGTCCTGGAAAGATATCCAAATGCACTACTTGTTTGAGGAGGGGGCTTATCTGACTTACACAGACCAGGATCCAATACTGGTTCTACCAGTTACTCACCATGCAGCCTCGGAAAAGATACTAATCTCCCTGAGCCTCAGTTTCCTCCACTGTAAAATGGAAACTGTAACACCTATATGTCACTGGGTTGCAAAATAACAGAAATGAGCTGGTATTCAATACATGATAGTGCCTAGTGTTTGCTAGTCTTTTTGCTTGGGTGTGCCAGGTAATATGCTATATTTTTAGTGAGTGTATTCTGCTTTTAAAACACAAGACCTAAAATCTACTTATTCAGCAAATACTAAAAAAATTGCGACCTTATAATAATTTATAAAGATTAAAACAGAAAAAAAATAATAAATAGACTCGTTTATGCATGTTTCCCTAAGTAATCTTTTTATTTTACTTTCAGTGCTGGTTTAATTAAGTGCCTTCAAGTATCCTATGCTGTGCTGAGGAATGGATACCAAAGATTCCTCTTACTCAGCAAACCTGTATTTCTGTAACCTGTGAGCTAAAAGAATGATCCACATTACATTTTCTTCTGCTCTGTAAGGCAGTTCTCTATCAGAATTTTCCTAGGAAAAAATTAATTAGTATAAACAACTCTATAAAAAAGTTATTCTGGGACATGTGTTTAATTTTTTGAGTCGTTTTCTAATCTAGCCATTAAAAACAAGAGCGGAAAATTAAGATAGTGCGTCAGAACAATGCAGTGACTCACTGTTCTGTTGACTTCTTTTAGCAAATTAATTGACATATTATCTATTTTTAAAAACAAAACATATGCTTACTTTGTCCTGTCTTGATTTTTTATATAAACAATTATTTCAAATTAACATTTTTTTTGCTTATTAAGAACAATTTGTTGTATTCTGCAAATAAGTAAGCTCTTTTAAGAACTTTTATTTAGTTCCTACTTCAGATATTTAATCTTAGGTCTATTCTAAGCAAGTGGATAATAACTGTCAATAATCAATTACAACAATAACGTTTGCAGAAATATCTAATAGCACCATTAATATCTGCTGAACTGAATTCAGGCTTCATTTGGCTTTTATTTTAAAACTTACCATTTTATAACTTTAAAGAAAGCATAAATTATCTACATTTGTTATTTGATGGTTACAAACTTACCTTTGGATAATTGCTTCATGAATTCTACGATACATGTAGCATTCTACAAATAGCCATGGTGAGAGAAACCACCTTGGTTTCCCATCACTTTCATTTAAAAGACTCTGTTGATATTCTAGGTACTGATTCCATATGTCAGTATCAACAAACTTTTCAACCAAAGGAACAATCGGCTTATCTGTTTGCAATTCGTTCCGTAATTTAGAAAGAAGAGAAATTGCTTTCTTTTCAGCTTCTAGGCCTTTCTGCAAAAACATGGGGGGGAGGGGTTGTTTATATATATAACATATATACACACATGTATGAGTCTACATTACAATTAATTTATATGTAATTATCTATAGCTATAAAAATACATATGTACACACATATAACATATATACATAATTCCTCTAGGGTAACAAATTTCTATGGATCTAAATTTAAGAAGGAAAAAACAAAACATTTCAAAACTACATTTTATGTCTTTCGCAAACGTATAAACATTTAAATTTAGAATTCTTAAGTTGAAAAATCAAAGAACACAAAGAGATCTCATATCGACATTATCTTGCCTTACCTAGTCCGCCTTTTTTTAAAGTTTCATGTTATGAACTTATCTCCAGGTGAAATGACCATTACCACATACGGAAAACTGCTTATTGTTAGACTTAACCACAAAAGAATTAAGTAAAAACACAATTCTTACCTCTCCATGTTTCTCAAAAAATTCACTTTTATGTCGATGCAATGTATCAATAGCTTTGGTTAAGATCTGGGGTGATCTGTCTTTAACTGTAAGATACGCAAATGATCTAGAAAAGAGTCACACACACAGCAGATTATTCAGTGGCATTCACACTAGAAGACTGTCATCTTTCAGTTTTTGGAACACCTCATCTAAATTTAAATTCCTTTGCAAACAACTGTAAAGTAAACCAGCATTGCCCAACTCCTGGAGTAACTCAAGAAAATCGGAAAACCTCTCTGAGAGTGTTAGTTGCTCAGCTCTGTCTGATTCTTTGCAACCCCATGGACTGTAGGCTCTGTCCATGGGATTCTCCAGGCAAGAATACTGGAGTGATTAAGCCATTCCCTTCTCCAGGGGATCATACCCACCCACGGATAGAACCTGGGTCTCCCGTATTGCAGGCAGATTCTTTGCCATCTGAGCCACCAGGGAAGCCTGGAAAAACCTCTCAGGTGTCTCATAAAAACCAAGCAAGCTTTGTGCCTGAAATCTCAGACTATTCCCTGGAGCGTTTAATCATTCTTACCCTTCTTATTGTATTCCTCTTCTTCTCCTTAACCAGAAACTAGTCTAACAAAGTGATAAGACAGAAGCAGAATTATCCTAAAAGTCAAACAGGCTTTCCTCCTAGGTTTATTATTTACTAAATGACCTTTCCTACCTAGAAAGGTGAGGCAATGGATGTAAAACTGCCTGAAACACTTTACAGTGAAGAAATATGTAGAGAAAGACATTTACAACCCTGCTTCTCTTTGTCTATATTCTCAGCCAACATTAATTCTTTTCAAAGGTTTTTCTTGATGCCTTCTTTCCCTCCCCAGTAACTCCTTCCATCCTCTCTAACCCTAAGCAAAATTGAGGCAAGTTACCATCTTGCTTTCCCAACCAAAAAATGAGATTTTCTAGAAGTGTCAAGAGAATGAAGAAAGCTGGAGATGAGGAAAAATTTGTGTATATTCGAATCAAAAATTAAAGATACTCTTGATTTTAGCCATACAAAAATCAAGATTTACTGATTATCACTGTATGTATTATTAGTTTAAGGAAATACATGGTTCAGATAGGGAAAAAAAAAAACTTTAGCATTGTGAAGTTTTTAAATAGAAAGCACAAATCAATTTATCAGTTCATTTATATCTTCAGATCACCAGAGACAATGTAAAAACAAAGACAGTTGGAATACTTCTGCCCAAATCTCCAATGCTAACTTAAATTTGGGATAATCACACTTGTAAAAACTCAAGTATCTCATTCCAGTTTTCAAAAATAGGATTATACGCCCTGAGTAGTTCTTCAAGAGCCTTCCTCAAACATGAACCATAAAGCTTAAAGGAAAAAAATTGCAAAAATGCTTTCTGATTCTGTGGCTTTTACAGTGAACAGGTTTTAATATGCAAGACATGAAATGAAGTTGCTTCAACTCATGTCCAACTCTTTGCGACCCCATGGACTGTAGTCTGCCAGCTCTTCTGTCCACGGGATTTTCCAGGCAAGAATACTAGAGCTGGTTGCCACTTCCTTCTCTATGGGATCTTCCCCACCCAGGGATCGAACCTGGGTCTCTCGCATTGCAGGCAGACTCTTTACCATCTGAGCCACCAGGGAATAGTAACTGCTCTGATCAGAATTTAACTTTTAACAATTACTACTAATTCCTTGGAAAAACAGAAAGAATACTAAATCAATTGAAACTTGAATCTTCCAAAGCAGCATATACAAAAAGTGACAGTTCTTTGAGATTCTACTTAACTAATTAAGTCACTCAGTGGTGTCTGACTCTGCGACCCCATTGACTGTAGGCTCCTCTGTCCATGGACTTCTTCAGGCAAGAATACTGTAGTGGGTGCCATTCCCTTCTCCATGGGGTCTTCCCAATTCAGGGATCAAACCCAGGTCTCCTGCATTGCAGGCGGATTCTTCACCATCTGAGCCACCAGGGAAACCACTTAACTAGAAAGTATTGCTATTTTTCTAGCTACTAAATTTGCTCATAGGTTTACATCTCCAAGAGTAACGTCTCAGGTCCAGGGACTTGGATGAAGGCAGATATACCTAGCACTCAAAATTTAAGGATGCAGACACTCCCTATATTTGCCTGAAGGTGAGTACAAGCTTAAATTCAGGGCCTAAGGTGCTTCTCTGACCTCAATCCATTGCTGGTACGGTCAATTTTTTCCAAGTGTTCTTGTGTTTTGCAATATTTTTCAGTAAGGACACATCTCAAATGTAAATTGGGCCTTCCAATTTGTACTAACAGATATATTTGTATGGAATCTATAATATGACTTTTAAAAAAGCAAGACGGTACAGGTACTTACGGTGGGATTACAAATTAATCCGATTAACGATAGAAGAAACACATTTCTCTATAGATCTCAGATCCCTAACTTTTGCAGAGAGCTTTAAGCATCCCCCTCAAAAAGTAGGTTTATTAATTAAATAGGGTTGAGTCACGCGCTGCAACACTCTGAAAGGGGGCCTAACACGCTCATGACAGTCATGCGTGAGTTAAAAAATAATAATAAACAGTATCGAACCACTTTAAAGACGCATTAACTGTTCGATACAAATTAATGCAAGCCAACCAACACCCTCGAACCATCACTTGTAGAGACAGGTAGGGGTAAACGGGGATTTCCAGTCGGGATTCGCAGTCCCTTCCCGTGTAGGCAAGTCAAGAAGCCACGAATCACACCGCAGGGAGGAAGCAGCAAAGACAGTCCGAGCCTGGAGCCCGGCGAGCGGCCGCTTAGCCCTCGCATCCCCGCGAGCCGTTAGAAAGCGAGCCGCGGCCCCCGGGGAAGGGAGCCGGGCGGCGGGCTGGAACTCGCGGGCGGCGGAGGAGCAGGCGCCTCCATCCCGCCTCCGCTTCCCTCCCTGGCACCCACAGGTTCCCCACGAGGCCCAGCTTCCCGCAGAAGCGGGGAGGAGGAAAAGGAGCCGAGAGAGTGGCCGAGGAAAACGACACGAACCCTACGTCCCGCGCCGACAGAGATGCCGGAGGCCCCGCCATCACCTTCCGCGCTCCCGACTCCTACACTCGGGTCTCACCCGCCGCAGGAGGGTAGGCGGTGCCGGCGCGAGGGAGGAGCCGAGAAAGCGAGGGAGGTGGGTTTAAAAAAACACTTTTGAATGAGGAAACTTTATTTGGTGCTTGTAGAAGAGACAAACAATGGCCGGCTCGAGGACCCGGAGATATCTTCCGGGGACGAAGGCGGGGACAGCTGAGGGCGACGACAGGAGCGGAATCAGGAAGCGGGCGGAAGGCGGAAGCAAGCAGGGACCGGGACGTCTCAGGAACCAGGGAGCGGCTCGGGTCGCGGCGGCACGGGTCACGTGGTCCTGCGGTCACGTGGACAGGGCGACTGACGCTCCGCGGGGGCCTGGAGCCCTGTGCGCTTGCGCAGTGCCGGGCGCTTGCTGCTGTGCGGGTCGAGATTGGGACCGCCTGCGGGGGAGCGCGCCGGGCTGCGGCTGCTGCTCGGTCCGCGGAAGCTCGCGCGCTTCGCGCATCGCTCCTCTGTCCGGCCGAGAGGTTAGTGCACTACCGTGTTCTCCGAGCTTGTATGGTCCCGCACAGCGGTGCCCGCCTTTGCTGCCTGCCGCCCTGAATCTCTTAAGTCACATGTTTCACCGGGACCGCGGAGGTCCCCTACCTGTTACGGTGATCTTTGGTCGACTTAACTGGGAGTCAAAAGCATTCCATCCATAACACATCTTGAATCCTTTTTTTTGAGCCAGTGCACAGCGGTAACTGCAAAGATCATTTTGAGCAGCTTAAGGACTTGGAAGGCATGCTCCCAGATTAGCGCCTCTTATCCATTGAGTTGTAGCCTAGTTGATAGTTTTCTTAGTTGGTGTGTTCTTAGAAGTAGGAAATGCATCCAAGAACCGAGTAGCCGCCTTGTATTTCATTCAGAAAATATGAGTTGAATACGTATTGTGTGCTGGGCACTCTGGTCACAGTAGACACAGCTGAACAGAGGGCAATTCTTTATTCTCAAGGAGTTTATATGCTACAGGAGAGAGAGACAAAAATCTCCTTTCCTCTTCTGTTTCTTCCCGTTATAGCATTGTGACTACTTACTGTATATTATAGCCTTAAGACTATTTTATAGCATTGTGGCTATTTACTGTATATGTTAGTGGTTTACCGCATGTATTATCTGTCATCCCCACTGTGATGTAAGTTTCAAAGGACAGGGATTTTTGTCTATTTTATTTTCAGCTGTGTTAGCAAGTAGAACAATGTCTGGCACATGGTAGGAACTCAGTTCATAACTTGTGTGAGTTAATAAAGTAAGAACATGAAGTATTGGTAACTGATGTTAAATGCAGTGGAGAAATAAAAAGTGGAGGAAGCTAGTGCTGCTGTCTTTTTTTTTTTTTTTTTTTAGTGATTCTTTTTGGCTATGCTGGGTCTTTGTTTGGGCTCCTCAGCAGCTTTTCCCTGCAGCATGTGGGATATTAGTTCCCTTACCAGGAATCAAACCCAAGTGCCCTGTATTGCAAGATGGATCCTTAACCACTGGACCACCAGGGAAGTCCCTGGTGTGCATTTTGAATGAAGTGGTCCAGGAAGACGTCACTGCCTAGGAGGCATTTGAGCAGAGGTCTGAAGGAGGTGAGGGTATAAGTAGGTTTACAGACACCTGGGAGAAGAGTATAAGGGTAGTAAGTGCACAGATCCAGATGCCAGAGTGACTGGAGACAAAGGAGTGAGGGGGAAAAGCTGTAGGAGACAGGAGAGTGGTGATAAAGGCCAGAGAAGGGAGGACCATGCTGTCCACGTTAAGGTCTTTGACTTTTAGTTCAAGTGAAGTGTGAGGCCATCACTAAACTTTACGAAGAGGGAAGATGGAATCTGACCTAGTAAATTGGTATATTTGGTTGTGATATTCAGAAGAATGTGAAGAACAGAAGCTGGGAACCCAGTGCGGATGCTGTGACAGTGATCCCTGGGCAAAACAGCAGCGTGGACCAGGGTGGTGGCCGGGTTGTTGAGGACCAGTCGGACCCAAGCCAGTGGGACTTGCTGACAGACTGGTTATGGAGAAGGAAGAGAAGCACCCACGTGGCCTGCAGGTGAGCGGCGTTAGCAAAGATAAGGATGTAGTTGCTGTTTCAGGAGCCAGGGGAGACTGTGGGAAGAGGAGGATTTGTAGAAAGGTTTCAGAAGCTCAGTTTTGAGCCTGTTACAGTTTTCATGCTTGTCAGAGTAGTTTAGGGATAAATATTTGCTATTTATTAGTGTGTAGGTGACTACATCAAACTGTGAGTTTGGAGATCAACGGGAGCTGGGAATAGAGAAGAAATGTGGCCCAAATACTGAGCTTTGGCGCGTTCCATTCTTGGGGTCGGAAACCAGCAGGAGAGACAGAGGTGCACCCAGTGAGCATGAAAGTGGTGAGTGAGGGAGGGTGGAGTGGTCCACTGTATCCCACGTTGCTGGTCAGTGAGCGAAAACGAAGGCTGAGAAGTGTCTGATGCAGGGGTCATTGCTAGCCTTGACAAATGGGTTTTGGTGAAGTGATAGGAATGAAAGCCCGATGGGAGCGGGTTCAGGGATATCAGAGAAGAGGCGGTGAAGACAGGGAATAAAACTGCTTTTCTGAAGATATTTTAAAAGCTGCAGGTTCTGCCTCCCAAATATCACAGGGACTCATCCTTGTCCTCATCCTTTCATTTTATTTTTTTGTCCTCATCCTTTTAAAGGGAGATAACATATATGCAGTGGTTTCAGTGTTGTCTTTGGAACTGGAAAGGCCTGGGACTGCCTTCCAGCTCTACATCGCAGACTATAAGCAATCCACCCCACTGAGCTTCCCTTTCCCCTGTGAAGTACCTCCCAGGATTGTTGTGAGGTGAAGCAGAGGATTTGCTGGGTACCAAGTACTCAGGAAGCCATGTCTTAGTCTCCATCAGTTCCTCCTCTACGTTTTAACCACAGATATGTTTCTTAGACGCGTATCTGATGATATGCGTCTCTTGTGAAAAGCTCTGCCTTCTCCCCGTTGGTGGAAGCTCGTTAGGATCAGTGCTTAGGATCAGCCATTTCTGCCTCTTCTGGAGCTACACCCCGTTTGTCAGGTGAACTGTGTACCTGGGGTGGAGGTGGGGGGCAGGGGACTTGTTGATCCCTCTGCCCTTTTGAAACCCGGTTCAAATGTCACCTCTGATAAGCCCCATCCACCCTCAGCCAGAGGTTCCTTTCTCTGCACCCAAGAGCAATTGGTACATAACTCTGTAATGTACTCATCATAGTATACTGTTTCCCCCACTAGATGGTGAGTACTGAGATTGTTGTTATATACCTGTATTTCCAGCCCCTAGCATGTTACTTTGTTAAACAATTGTTATTGATTTCCTACTACAAGCTTACTTTTTTTTTGCCTGCTATGGGGCATGTGGGATCTTAGTGCCCCAACTAGGGATCCAGCCTGTGCCCCCTTCCACTGGAAGCGTGGAGTCTTAACCACTGGATAGCCAGGGAAGTCCCTCCAGGCTTACTTTTAAAGAACAAATGTTTTAAACTGTAAATAAGAGGGGAGATTATTTACGTATAGTATTTCTATTGGGGGGCGGGGTGTGTATCTTAACAACCTTTTGCCCTACTGCCATGCCCAGCCCCACCCTGAAAAGCATGTTCCCCTTCCAGAATCAGCTTGAATCTTTCTGGGAGCCTTTCCTGACTCTACATGTAGACTTAGGAACCTTCTGTTGTAGTTCTTTGGTGGGGCCTAGGGCTGCACCACTCGGTTATAATGAGGCATTTGCACACACCTGTCTCCTTCAGGAGACCATTAGCTTGATGGCAGGAACCCTATTCTTCCATGGATGTATCCCTGGTCCCAGCTCATTGCTAATCTTATTTTACAGGCTGAATAATTTTTTTTTGGCCTTGACATTGGGGATCTTAGTTTCCTGACCAGGAATTGAACCCATGCCCTCTGTAATGGAAGGGCAGTCTTAACCACTGGACAGCCAGGGAAGTCCCTGAATACATTTTGAATAAAGGGGTTTAGAAGTACTAATTTCATTTTAAATAGTTGATATGCTGGTGAAGTAAATGAAGAAATCATTATTACTCTTTTTTTTCTTTCTTTCTTTTTTTTTGAGGTCCTTTTCATGTCCTTGTAACCTTCCAGAAAGAAGGCCAAAAGTTGACTACAGGTGATGGAAACATTAAAATTTTTTTTTTAACCTTTTACTAGGCTTCAGTTGGAGGAGGAAATGGCTCCCCACTCCAGTATTCTTGCCTGGAGAATCTCATGGGCAGAGGAGCCTGGCGGCCTACAGTCCGTGGGTCACAAAGAGTCAGACGTGGCCGAGTGACTAACAACAACAGGCTTCAGTTAGCTGTATCTGTTTTGCAAATGGTTTTACAGAAATATACCTGTTACCCAGGAAAACATTATACGTGTTTTTTTAATTTATTCATTTTTTAAATTGAAGGATAATTGCTTTACAGAATTTTGTTGTTTTCTGTCAAACATCAACATGAATAAACCATAGATGTATGTATATCCCTCCCCATCCCACTCCTCTAGGTGGATACAGAGTCCCTGTCTTGAGTTCCCTGAGTCCTATAGCCAATTCCCATTGGCTGTCTTTCTTACATATGGTGATATAAGTTTCCATGTTACTCTTCCCCCCTCCCCATGTCCGTAAGTCTGTTCTGTATGTCTGTTTCTCCATTGCTGCCCTGCAAATAAATTCATCAGTACCATCTTTCTAGATTCCATATATATGTGTTAGTATATGATGTTTCTCTTTCTCTTTCTGACTTACTTCACTCTGTATAATAGGCTCTAGGTTGATCCACCTCATTAGAACTGATTCAAATGCATTCCTTTTTATGGCTGAGTAATAGTCCATGGTGTATATGTACCACAGCTTCTTTATGCATTCATCTTGTATGTATTTTTTTAAGTTTTTTTTTTTCTCAACTTTAACTTTGAATTCTTGTCTTTTAGCTTGGGTTATGGTAATGTCAGCCAGACTTCTCAGAGCCCTGGCTGGATCTCACCATATTTTGTCAAAAGCATGTCAGTGCCAAAGACTTATTCATCCAATGTTAAAACCACTTAAGGAATTTGAGACTGCAGCACGCACAGCCCTGACAAGAAATCAGAACTTGGATTTGTTCTTTCCTGATGCAGCAACTGGTGGTTGGAATAAGTCTCAGGTCCTGCGGATGAACCAGAAAATGTCAAATACAAATGTATTCCCTGCATTCAATGCTGTGCGTTGCCAAGATGAAAAAGCTCACCTTCCAACCAAGAACTCTGTCAGTACTCACAGGAAAGTGACTCACAAACCAAATCTGCTAGGTTCTAAGTGGTTTATGAAAATATTAAAGAGACATTCCTCATCTGTGTCTACGGAAGCAGTTTCTAAACAAGACTTTCCGAAAATCAAGAGACCACTGAAAGCTTCGAGGACCAGGCAGCCATCTAGGACCAATCTTCCAGTTCTGCCTGTGAACGAGGTAAAAACACGGGTGGTGGTGGCGCCTCTGTTCCCTGACGATCACCCTAAACCCCTGTGTGTCCCAGCTCAGCCTCCCTGCCAGCATAGGAGAGCACCTGCTTGGCGCTGCCTTCAGGGTCTTTAAAGCCTAATAGTGCAGCCTGTTACCTCCAAAAGGAATCAGCATTGTAATTTTAGGAATTAGTGGTACATATAAAGGGCTTCCTAGGTGGCTCAGTGGTAAAGAACCCTCCTGCCGATGCAGGCGACAGGTTGGATCCCTGGGTTGGGACAATTCCCCGGAGGAGGAAATGGCAACCCACTCCAGCATTCTTGCCTGGCAAATTCCATGGACCGAGAAACCAGGCGGGCTGCAGTCCATGGGGTCGCAAAGAGTCAGACGTGACTGAGCAACTGAGCACGAACTCACAATGTGTATAAAGGCAAAATAGAGGCAATTAAATATTAAAATGTAGTTTATAAAAGGATTAGTTAATGGTCTAAGGAAATTTTGGAAAAGACTGGTATTAAGTTCACTTTAGGAATACTGCTATTAAAAAGCCCCCACTTAAAAAAAGTCAAACTGTAGAAATTCTATATTAAGTTTAAGAAAAAAATTTTTAAGTGAACTGTGTAGACAGGTAAGCATTTATAAGCTGATGATGACTGCGTGGGAGTGGGTGGCAAAAGGACATGGCAAGTTAGAATTGAAAAAGCAGAGTGAAGGTCTTTGCTTTTTATCCTTTGAAGGTTGAAGGGGGTATTTTTATCCCCTGTTATGGGGTTTATGGGAATTTCTTTACAATTTGCTTTTCCCCACTAAATCGTAAATATTTAAGGTGAAGATCAAGCCCTTCATTAACCTGTGTATCCTGCATAATATGTAAAACTATGCCTTATATTTAATAAATGTTTATTAAACTGAAAAGGATGGAAGAGAAGCAAAGGAATCTTTGATGTCTGTAGTCATCAATGTTAAAAATAGGAGTGTCGAATATTTAAAATTTAATGAGACATTCTGAATCTATCAGAAAACAGGTTAGGGTCGAAACAGGTTAAAATTTCGATTTTGAGAAGTAGACCCTGAGCATTTAATTTGGTAGGTTTTTTTGTTTCTTTTTTTTTTTTTTTACTGTGAGGTTGACTTCCTTTAAAAAAGTATACAGGCCTTCTTGTCATATCCTCAGGTTGTGAAGTTAGGGCCTGATTAGTGTTAGTCACTCAGTCATGTCTGACTTCACGACTCCGTGAACTATAGCCAGCCAGGCTCCTCTGGCCATGGGCTATCCCAGGCAAGGATATTGGAGTGGGTTGCCATTCCCTTTGACATGGGATCTTCCGGACCCAGGGATCAAACCTGGTCTCCTGCGTTGCAGGCAACTTCTTTACCATCTGAGCCACCAGGACTGGTTAATGACTTTTATTTTGGATTCTAGCTTTGTTTACATTTTTGTTTTGTTTCTTTCAAACCCAGGATATAAAGGATGAGAGTTTTGGATTCATTCTACTTTCACCCCTTTCTTTGTAGCTCTTGAGTTTTTAATTACGTTGTTTCGCTTATGTGATCATCCGGGAAATTTAGCATTTAAGTAACTGAAAGAAAATTAAGTGTAGAAACCTGAATTATAGCAGATCGAAAAAGGAGGATCAAGTCCCTTTTTTCCTTTGTTATATCTGGCAACCCAGAGCAGGATCAAGTGTCTTATGAAAGAAAGGCTGGCAAAGTCAGAGATGTCACTTTTTTTTTTAATAGTTGTTGGTTATAAATTGTCAGAGGCATTATTTCTTTGGGTTGTCCATGGACTTGAAAGCAATTTTCCTAAATTCCATTTTTTATTTTTCTTTTTAGAATTTTTTTTTCTGCTTCCAGGAAAGGATTTGAAGTAAATTTTAAAAATTTATTGTTTCCAATGAGGTAATAAAAGCATTACATTTAAAATAGAGCAAGCAGTTGACATGAACAGAGAAAGAAATATTATCAGATACTTGATATGGATAATCTAGTTGAACGTTTGGTTCTGAGGAGCCCAGTAATTAAGGGAAAACCAGGAATCCTCCTGGGTTGTACATTTCATGTTGTCTAACAAGAAAAAAAAGAAAAACATAAGAATGTCTTGCAAGAAATAGCTTTTTTTCCATCACCAAATTTAAGGCATCATTTGTTTCCTGGGTCCTGAGGTAGGACATGTTACGTAACGTAGTAGCTGTGACTTCAGTTTGCATTTTGCAAAAACAGAAGCAGTATGTCTTTTCTCTGGAAGCACAGGAAAATGATAGAAAATCTTTTCTATTTCTTTCTTTTTTTTTAATCTTTTCTGTTTCTAAGAGGTTTTCTAAAGTGATCTGAGGGACTGTGATTTGGGAGCATTATTTTCTAATGATCTCACAGGTGAACGTAAGCCGTAGGTAATAGATGGTGAGGGCTGAAGACTAGCTTTGGTCTGCCCCGAGTAGCGGGCCCCTGCATTTCCTCGTGGGCATCACGGCGCTGGCCAGTCCCCTGTGGGGTGGAGCCCTTACCTCCACTCTGGGCTGAGTCAGGAAAGGACTCTACTTTGTACCAGAAAGAGACACACTTTGTCTCATTCCCCGTCCGTGTACCTGAACTCACCCTCTTCCTGAAATGGACTGCATGAGCCTGCTCACCTATGTGTCGGAATCAGCGCTTCACCTGGTCCCGTTCGCAGAGATCCTGCCCTGTTGAGATAGCCAGCCTCCATCCCACTGGCTCATCATTATTCATGACAGGGACAGTGCTCCTGGGCCGTCTGTCCTGTCTTGGAGGAGGACGATGCCTGAGGATGAGGGCCACTCTGAGCAGCGTGGACGCTGGCTGGGGAGGACGGTGGGACCCCCAGTAGTGGCGTGTTGTGAAATTAACTAATGGGTTGTTAGTTTCTTTTCCCCCTTTGGTTTGCTTGTGTATTGCAATAGAATCAGTGCGTCGTTCATGATAAAGGTATATACCGTTCTGTGATGCTTTCGTGTCGGTTATCCGTGTGGGGGCCTATATATGGTCTGTATGTGAAGGGCTGCTTTGGGATGTACAGCTCACCATGGGCTGTAGTCAAAAAGCTTAAAATCTGAAGCCTCATACTATGCTGTGCTGCGCTTAGTTGCCCAGTCATGTCCAACCCTTTGCAAGGCTGTGAACTGTGGCCTGCCAGGCTCCTCTGTCCATGGGGATTCTCCAGGCAAGAATACTGGAGTGGGTTGCCATGCCCTCCTCCAGGGGATCTTCCCAACCCAGGGATCAAAATCAGGTCTCCCACGTTGCAGGTGGATTCTTTACCCTCTGAGCCACCAAAGAAAGCCAGAAGAAGCCTTATAGTAGTAAGGTAAAATATATCTGTTTTATAACTTTGACCTGTAACCTCTACTTGGTCTTAGCCAAAAGGCCAAGAAGCGGTCACCTATAATTTGTACATAACAGGAAAATGTACATTCCCCCCCGCAATAATACAGAAGTAAGATTACCAAAAAAAAAAAAAACCTTAATTTTTTTTTCAGTAAAAGAATGTGAATAAAAATAAACTTTCTTTTTCAAGAAAAGTATTCCATCAGAGTGTGTGATATTCTAAAACAAGAATCACATATAAATTTCTAGCCCCATCTGCTGGAATATGTTTTCTGTGACCAGAAAAATGAAACATAGTACACACACAGTGGTTTTCTTGGCTTTGGTTTGGGTTTTGTTTGTTTAACATTTTAAAATAGAAAGGCCTAAATTTAAGTCGTAAATCCAAGAACAGTTTTAGGTTGGTTTGACACATTTATTTAAGAACAAGTTGTTGAGCCCCATCCTAGAACCTGAAGATTGCCATATATTAATATTTGCATTTAATGCCCAAAAAAGAATGATTCATTATAAAAAAAAATCCAGAAAAAGACATGTCTGAAAGTGAAAGCTTCTTGCAGAATAAAAACATCTTTAAATGATGGGGGTGGGGGGTGGGGCGGGAGTTAATGCGAAGATGACACTCTCCCTTTCCCAAATGGATTTAAATACAGTCTTGAAATGAAAAAGCAGAGGAAATAAAACTCCCCAAAGATATGTCTAACAGGTCAAATTGGTAAACCTTGCGAGTCGTTTATTTGTAGAAGATTCATAACTTAAACCAACTCAAGTCCCAGATGTTTAAGGAGGATACAGAAAGCAGTGTGGCGAGCCATAGAAGTTATGTAATGTAGGCTGAGCCATACGCTGCGAGACACTGGCTGGGACTTTGAGCCAAACGAAATAGGAGATGGCGAGAGAAGGAAAGGTGACCATCTTCAGAAAATCCTTGGAATGGCTAAGTAAAAACAGACTGTGTTTCAAAATTTATAACCTGACTCTTTGGAGCTCAGCACATATTTTTTCAAGGAAGTGGTGATTGAATGCTTTGACTTACTCCATTTCTGAAAATGTAAAACAGTGTAAGTTTAGTTTGTATTTTTTTTTTTTTTTAGCACAGATGGGCCTGATCAAAAACAAACGTGATGGTGAAGCAGGCGCAAGACAGAAGGGAGTAGGGGGGACAGTGTCAGCCAAAGAACCTGGCCCCCACCTTGACCCTGGTCAGTTACCACCAGGTGCAAAAGATGCTAGAAGTCTGGGTTTTGTGTCAAATGGCAGTGTGTTGTTGATAGTTTGTGGAGACCTTGAAAACACTATGTGGGGGACTCTTAAGTTGGGTAGTTCTCCCGGCTGCCAGAGTAAGGCTCTAATGCTAGAGACAGCCAGCCAGAGCCATTTCCAGTGCAGTAATGGGAAGACCCTCCACTGGACTAGCTGTTGATCTTCTCCTTATCTCCTGTCTTCTTCATGCGTCCTGCTCTTCCCACTGCAGCCTAAACTAAGCACGTCAGCTCTAGCAGCCCCAGAAGGAACTCTGACGTCCAGCCGGATGCCCTGGGATTTGCGTAGCAAACTGGAGTTTGTTAGGTTTTGCAGAGTAGAGCTTACCTGATGTGGCCTTGCCTGAGGTCTCTTACCTGGATTCCTTTCTTTCAGCCACCTTAATCTCATATCCTGCCAGCTCCTCTTAATTCCACAGAGCCTTAAAAGAACAACTAGCGCCCGCCGTTCTAAACCTTAAGCATAAAAAAAATAAAAAATAAACCTTAAGCACAGAACCTGTTTCTCTACTCCAATAAGCAGCTTTCATCTGACCATGTGAATCCGTGTGTTTTTGTCAATGAGTGCATTCTTAACCTCTGTAGTGATTGGGAATCAGGCTTATCAGATGTGTGGAACAGGAGGGGCCCACATCCACTTATCTCACGTTTGGCAACAATTTCCGTTTTTTTCCCCTAATTGAGTGAAAATCAGTAAGAACATTGTTTTGCTTCTGAGTGGATAGTTTACTGATTTTAGGTTTTTCAGGTCCTCTGTGTATTCTTCTGGTGCTTTTTAAACCACACGTTAGAACGGATGGAAGAAGAGGCATAGCAGGGTGAAGTCATTTCTTGAGAAGGGGCCAGGAATTAGGTAACGAAAGTAGGAGGAAGGAAGGAATGTATGTGCTACTTTTCTTAAATTGCATACTAGGAATGTAACAGAAAGGGAAAGAAATTAGGAGCCAAGATGAGTAAATCTTAGGAATAAATTTTGATTTAGTGACTCATAAAACTCTTTTGACTAACATTGGGCCAAAGCACTATATGTACCAAAGACAGTAGGCTCACTAATGTTCTGACAGGTGGATACTAAAATATAAAATTATGAACAAATGAAAATCCAGATGTAAACTACTTGATAGACTTTTTAACCTCCTTGCATTTTGATGGTTTAAGCATATATGTCCCTGGTGGCTCAGACAGTAAAGAATCTGCCTGCAATGTACAAGCCCCGAGTTCGATCCCTGGGTCAGGAAGATCCTGTGGAGAAGCGAATGCAACCCACTACAGTATTCTTGCCTGGAGAATCCCATGGACAGAGGATCCTGGCGGGGCTACAGCCCTTGAAATTGCAAAGAGTTGGACACAACTGAGTGACTAACACAAACGTATATATCTGCGCTGTAATAACAACTGTAATAAATGTTGAACATTTGTGCTTGCATGGTTCTGAGCAGTTGACATTCATTAGCTTGTGTAAACTTCACAAAAACTTTTTTTTACTGAATCTAATTCTGTGCCTGACCTCTGAGCACCTCTGCCCATAGCTTTTGGAATTTCATTGACCACATTCAATGGTGAGGAATTTATTTTACATTCTATGTAGTGACCCAGCGTACCTACTTAGACATATTTGTGAAAAAAACATCATAAAATAAAAGTTACCCTTACTATGAGTTATGGACTCTTAATATTTTCTATTTCATTCTGTTTATTTTTTTTTTTAAGCTGGTTTGGGCCAACTGAATCAACATCAGGACTCACTGATAGCTTGTGACCTGTAGTTTGACAAAAACACCATGTGCTGGGCCATATGCTTGCCATGTGTGTACTGTACAGACACAACATAAATACATACATGTACACACAAGTGAGACTCCTAGTGCAGAAGCCAAAGCACTCACCTCCAAACCTGGACTCATTCTCAGATTTGGAGAACTTTCAACCAGAGTGAAATTAACCAGAGTAGAAAAATCTGTAATTCCTTTGTAGATACAGACTAATCTCTGCCTGTTCAAGGGTAGTGGCAGATTACCAAATGACCTCAAATAATAATGCTGCTGGGAGAAAGAGCCATGGAAACTCAAGGTTGGACAGACTTTAAATAGCATTTCATCCCGGAGCCCGTACAATCCCTTAATCCTCTCTCTATCTTTTGTTCAGTCTGCGCTTGAAGCACAACCAGTAGGGTTGGTTCCATTTTCATCTAGGCCATCTCATCTTTTTGACTAGCAGGAGAAAGTTCTCGCATAAGTTGAGCTGAAATCTGCCTCCCTGTGATGTCTTGTTCTCCGTCTTTCTCACATCCTTTGTCCGAATCTTCGAGATGTTTGGAGAAAAGTCTCACCTGCCAACTATGCAGCACAGAGTCCTCCCTGTAATGGGACAGCCTTGTCAGGCGCCTCTTCGTAACCTTGTCATGCACGTCTCCCTGGTGCAGGACCTGATGCAATGCACTGCGTTTGCAACCGCAGATGAGTACCATCTTGGAAGCCTCTCTCAAGATCTGACGTCCCATGGATACGTCGAAGTGACTAGCTTGCCTCGAGGTACATCTCCTTGAACCAGGGGCCAAGTATGTTAAAATGTATTAGAAAGTAATTTTCCTATGATAACTGTCTTGAAATACACATTTGTTCAGGTTTCAGTTTCAATGTAAACAACTGTATCATATAAGGGGTGTTAAATCTCTTTATGCAAATGACAAAGATAAGAAAATGCATTTACAGAGAACTTAGTTCTCAGATTAAAATCAGTATGGTTTATTCAGCTTTATTTACAGGATCACTCTTACTTGGGATGATCAAAGGCCATGCCACTTCATTTCTGTCACATTTAAAAGTTATTAGTGTTACAGAAGAACCATAAAATTGATAGAAATATTGGAGAGAGTCTTTAAAGAAAAATTTTCCAGTAAAATCCAACACTTTAAAACTAATAGAATTAGTTAAAAGATAAACACAGTATTTAAAAGGAGAATTAAACTGAGGGTTGTAGGGTAGTGTGAGGAACACTTCTTGAGAAATACATGAAAAAATAAGTGACTTGGAACACTTTGGAAGATTCATGAGTTGACCTCAAAGTAGCAAAAATAGTAGGTGGAAAACCTCGCTGCTACAGAGAAAATGTTTGAAAGTCACTGACCCTGTAAGAAACAGTTGAAATGTCATGGTGCTTTTTGGCCTTGATGATCTGACCAGACTATTTGGTGACAGAAAGAAATGTAATTGACTTAGAAAAACAGCTATGTCCAGCCCCCCCCCCCCCCCCCCCCCCCCGAGAAGAAAACTTGCCCTGGGATCTTGGCTGATTGCAGAGGCGGTTAGCAATGTGATCCTGTGCATCACAGACTTGGCTTCTCACACCATTCTGCTGCCCTGGATCTCACCTGTTTCATTTGTGGTGTTCTCCACTGTATGTGTGAGCCTTGCCCTCCATCCACTGATGTAGCATCAGTACTCAGGGAAGTGTGAGTGCACCAAAGAAGCGGGTTTAGGATTCGGTCTCTACCTGAATCCTCCATTCGCCGACCTCTATCAGGAACTCTAAAGATTTGAGGATCCTCAGTTTAGGCTAAGAAATTATACAGCAATTTGCATATTAATATTAGTATGTTTATTAATTGGTAGATTAATGTGTTTATAATTTATGATAGAATATATATTTATAATAAATACTACTAAATATACAAAGTAACTACTTATTAGTGAATATTTATGTATTTAATATTTAAAATGTTACAATATTTTAATAGCTACTGATGACTGCTGTGGTAGTTCTCATGATTGACTTTGAAATCAGATATGTTTTGAAATGGCCAGTATCTCTGTCTCTGTGCGTTTTCTGTTTTCCACACTTTCTACAATATAATTTAAAATTCAGCAGAATGAGCAGTTTGAGAATATTAAAACTTTATTATTAATAAAATTATAGTTAAAGGAAGAGAATATATTAATGGCTCCTCAGCTTTTATTTTAAATTATTTATAAAAAGTAGTTCTTTTTTAATTGAAGTACAGTTGATTTCCAGTGTGTTAATTTCAGCTGTGGAGCAAAGTGATTCCATTTTATATTCTTTTTTCTATTATGGTTTATCTTAGGATATTGGACATAGTTCCCTGTGTCATTCGGTAGGACCTTGTTGTTTATCCCTTCTCTATAGAATAGTTTGCATCTGCTAACCCCAGGCTCCCAATCCATCCCTCCTTCACCCTGCTCTCAAATTCTTGAACCATAGTTGTACTGAAGATGAGACTTTAATATTATCAACTGGACTAGTGATTACTGAATCAGAATGGGCAAGAATGAGTTTTAAATGGCTCTAATAAATAGTGTCACAGGTTGTTGAATATTTTGTTCAAGTAATTTCCTGTGGTCTTCTCATTTTATCATGTCAAATACTTTTGGCAACCTTAGTAGAAAGTGTGACTGTGTCGCAGAGCACTTGATGGTATGTGAAGAAATGATCACAGGCCCTTTGTTAAAGGTGACCCTTAAACCTTGTGTCACCTTGCAACACAGCTTTTTGCTCTTTTATCACAGATGCTGCAAACATTCTGGTGATGGGTGTGGGAAATTCTGCAAAAGAAGGTGATCCTGGAACAATATTCTTCTTCAGGTAAGACAGGAGAGCAACCGCAATGGGAGGTGGGCTGTGTGGCCAGGTTATGTGGTCCTTAAAGATGCAGGTATACCTCATCTCTTAGCAGTAAATGTGTTCAGGATTTGTGATTAAAATTTGTCCTTTGGCTGTGATTTGAAGAGGAGAGTTTGTTAGTTTTAGGCATCTGCTGGTAAATCCTCTTATAAAGTAAAGAATTCCCCCCCTGCCCCAGGGAAAATATCAGGGATTTTTCATTCCTTGTGTTCTAAGTTAACTTTCAGCACTATGTCATCTGTGTATCATCTCTGCAAGTCATTTATACCATGCATGATTCATGACAGTAAAGGGTGCACTTAACATGTTGTCAGAAGAGAGCCTTGGACAAGGCTAAAGTCAGGAACCACTGCTGGAAATTATGGAGCGCTGCAGAAGGCAGGGATGGAGGGATCCGATGGCCTCCCCCACGTTCTGGCCTGCCTGCGAGCAAGAGGCTGAAGGAGGCTGAGGCTGAGGCCATCAACAGAGGCCCCCTCGGGTAACTTGGTGTGTGTTCATCTTTATTTATAAATCTGAGAACATGTAAGCATGGTATTTCCCTTTCAGCTTCAGGGCCCCTTCTCAGTTATACACGCTACCTGGCCTGCTGTCTTTTCTTCCTTGTCATTTTCTTCCTTTTCTTTCTTCTTTGTCTGAAACTCTTCAGCTAAAGTTTCAGACCACCTTACCTCTCCAGAAACTTCAGCCTGGGACCCTGGCTCACATACAAGCATTCCTTTTCTCTAAAGGTTGTTTTAACACCAAATACTCTGGAGCAGCTGACTAGGCATGGTGATGATAGTAGAAACCATTTAAAATCATCTAATGTTATCCTCACAACATTTGAAGAGGGTCTTCCCCCCCCCCCCCCGCCATTTTGCAGCTGAGGAAACCAAGGGTCAGAGGAATTGAAGTGAATTACCCACCGTCAGGGGGCTGATAAGTGGCAGGACAGAAGCACACGGAGCATCCGTAAGAATACAGACTTTGGTGAAGTTTCTGTGGTCTTACTTCTTACAGTCGCTGATAACTGGTAGCCCTGTCTTTGTTCCTGTGGATGATTCATAATCGAGTTCAGCATTTAGTCTGAGTAGAATCACATCCCTTTTGACTCGAGTGAGGAATTTGGATTTCTGAGGTCCCCTAGATCAGCACCATCCAGTAGAAATACAATGCAGGCCACAAGTGCAAGCCACATATGTAATGATACATTGTTTAATAGCCACATCTTTAATTAAAAAAAAATGGGTTAATTTTGAACAGCACTAATAATAGCATCATATAGTACCTGAAATTAATTTTACTGGTGTATTTTATATAATCCAACATACCGAAACTATTATCATTTCAACATGTAACCCGTCCACAATTGATGAGATTTATAGTCTCCTTTTCTTCCTAAGTCTGTGGAACCTGGCATGTGTTTTTCCACTCACCGCAGCTCTCAGTTTGGACCAGGCCTGTTTCAGGCGCCTGTTAGTCACACGTAGTCTCACACAGGGCTTGAGTACCGCACTGTACAGTTCCGGGGACCTCGCCTCTGCCCAGAGGTGCTTCTCTGAGCCAGTGCTCCGGCTGCTCCAGTACCTCTCCTGTCCGCATCCTGAGGCCCTACCCTGGCCTTCTGCCGCAGCTCACTCACTGCCTGTCTTCTCACCCCGCCACCTGTCTGTCTGTCTGTCTGTCTGTCTGTAGGCAGGGTAATTTGGCAGCAGGTAATTCTGATCACCACACTGCCCTGCTTCAAATTCCACAGAATTTGTCCCAAACTCCTGGTCACAGCACGAAGTTCCTTTCAGGGTTGTTTCTTGCCACCTTTGACCCGAGTGCCCCCTGCCCGCCCTCATCCACAGCCACTCACACCACCAGCTCTGTATTCTGCGACATCGCATGCCTGCCTCGCACCTTCTCCCGGAGCTGGGGCGTTTCCTCTGCTGCATCTCCTGCTCTCATTTTCTCATTCGGCTTTGCTAGTCTTGTACAAACGGTGTCCCTCCAGTGTGCACCCATGTAGATCCTGAGTAACTCTTAGAACTCAGATTGCCAAGAAGTTGGCCAAGAAGTTCTTTGTATTTGGTTGGCCAAGAAGTTCTTTGGGGTTTTTCCATAAGATGTTACTGATGTATGTGTCTGGCTGAGTCCCTTTCTGTCCACCTGAAACTATCCCAGAATTGTTTGTTAATCAGCTATACCCCGAGACAAAATAAAGAATTTAGAATTTAAAAAAAAAATTGAATCAGGTTATCAAACAACCTAGATGCATGAAATTTTGTAGTATTACAATAATAGTTACTCTGCACACCACTTGAGAAATCTATGAATTTTTGAGGGGTGAAGTTTTTTATCAAAAGTTCAAAAAATAGCTTTTGTTTATCATATCCATCCAGGGGCCATCATGTCAAATCCATAATAAATCATATTTTTTTAAATTGGCATCCTAGATACATTTTAGAAGCTACCTAAAGCATGGCTCTGTGTGTGGCCCTGAAGAATGTATTCCACCTTTAACTAAGTTTATTCTTTTAAATCAGGGAAGGAGCTGCTGTGTTCTGGAATGTGAAAGACCAAACTGTAAGTATAAATAAAGTGCGAAAGTATTAAAACTTAGTTTTCTGAGAATAAATTGTTAATTAGCCCTCAATAACCTGAGCCATTGGATGATAAAATTACAGGTAATCTTCAGTTGCTTTGCTCAGCTTTATGTGATGTTGATCCTAGCGCTCTCATCTTCCAAAATTGTCATTTTTACTACGCGTTGCCTACATTTTCCATTCTCTGGGCGCACACTGATTTGTGGGGAATGAGAAGAATCCTAGCTACATTGCAGATAGAGGGAAGTGTACTTCTCATATGATAACTGCAAAATGAGTAGTGTTCACACAGTTAAGTGGAAGCTGGCTGCACTGAGTTTTATTTTAGATCAAGATCAAGTTTTCTAGAACATTTTCACTCACTGGAATTTATTTCTTTAATATCCCAGTCAGGATTTGTTTAATACAGCCTTTTCAGGGCCAGTTTGGTAATACACATCAAAGCTTTGTATTTAACTCAGCAATTTTACATCTGGAAAGTTATCCAAAGAAAATAATCACATTATACGTGATGAATGATATATACAATAGCAAAAATGAGAAATAACCAAAACACATAATAAGAGAACGCTTGCTAAGTAAATCTGTAGAATAGAATCTGCTATCCATAGGGTAGAATCTAGCTCTTAAAAGTCATGTGGGGGAAAAACTTGTTCCTGGGGATTGCCTGGTGGGCTTCCCTGGAGGCTCAGATGGTAAAGAATCCACCTGCAATGCAGGAGACCTGAGTTCGATCCCTGGGTTGGAAAGATCCCCTGGAGGAGGGCATGGCAACCCACCCCTGTATTCTTGCCTGGAGAATCCCCATGGACAGAAGAGCCTGGCAGGCTACAGTCCGTGGGGTCTCAAAGGGTTGGACAAGACTGAGCGACTAAGCCCAGCACAGCACATGATACAGTTAAATTAAAAGAGCAGGTTACAGACTATAGCCGATATACCAGAGCTGTGCTAAAAGGGTGCCTTATACAATCCCAGCTTTACTAGAAGGAGGTACACACACACGGGGGTGGGAGGAAAGAGACTGAGGAGTGGTTTCCTGGAGAAAAGGAAATACAGATGAGCAATAGATGTAAGAAAAATGTAACCCAAATTGGCTATTTGAAGTTGCAAAGATGTAAAAGGCTGACAATACTCAGTAATTTTTTTAAGAATGCTTTCGTAAATCTTTGGATTCTAAAATTGGAAATCCCGCCTGCCACAACTAAAAAGAGAAAGATTCCATGTGCTGCAACTATCGATCCCGTGTGCTACATAGTAAAGAGTGAACATCCTGCGTGCCACAGTTACAAGCGTATGTGTCTTTTGATCTAACAAATCCTGAAGAAATATTTCCACAGGCCCTGAAGATACATGCATCAGGTTGGTGCATGTGACATTGCGTTAGTGGAGAGGAGAAAAAAGTCCCCCATGAATGGACATTTAGAATGGTTAAATCAGTTGTGGTTCCGCCGTTAAGGAGAAGAGCATTGAAAATTTTTACGTACAGTACCATCCCATTTATATAAAAAGCAAACTAAACATACATATATTTACATGTAAGGGGATGTCTGGAAGGATATGCACCAAGTTTAATCATGATTACCTTCGGGGATTAGGAATGCAGGAGAATAGAGAGATTATCACTTTCTATAATTCTGTGTTGTTTAAATTTTTACAAGTGTTTAACTTAAACATTTTGTTTGTGTCTCACTGTTTAAAGAAAACAAGCCATAATGTTACTGTGGTTTTCTCTGGGTGGTGGGGGAGGGGTTGTTTCTGTTTTCCTCTTTAAGCTCCCCTGTGTTTTCCAAATCTGAAAACAAATGGATGTATTATCCTTCCGGTTAGTTTAGCATCACCATGAGTTTGCTTTTTCCTTAAAACCTGAAGAACAAAACAAACATCATTAAATGTAATTTTTAAAATGTTACAACCATCACTGAGGGGGTCAGGATAATTTTAGGTTAATCTTCCTTTTCTTCTAGATGAAGCATGTGATGCAAGTTCTAGAAAAACATGAAATTCAGCCCTATGAAATTGCATTGGTTCACTGGGAAAATGAAGAGCTTAACTACACAAAAACAGAGTAAGCACCTTTTTATCAAATTTACAAAACAGGCACTTGAAATAACTAGGGAAAGCAGTAGAGAAGATCAAGTCTTTATGAATTTGGAGACAGATTTTAAGAAAAAAAGCTATTAGTACAAACACAAAGCCAAAGCAATTAATATTAGTGGGCAATTTTTCACCTTCTCAGGCTACCCATAAATTAAAACAAGTAGATAGTATAACCCCAAAATAATGTTTCCTAAATAGACAAAATCAGTAAAAAGTAGTGAGCCTTCGTCACAATGAATCTGTCAAATTATTCTAGTAATGTTTTTTTCTTAAGTAAATCCTTTTTGCTTTTTTCCCGTTGACTTTGAGTATAAAAAGTATCAAGTATAATGAGAGGGTGCTCTAAGGGAACCACTCATAGGAATGGAGGTGCCTGCAGGAAGTGGGGGCCTGCTGTACCTGCTCAGGTCAAAGATATGGGTAGACAGCATCCTGACTGATTTCCCTGTCCCAGCAAGGGTGCAAAAATGAGGAGAGATGTTAAGGTGGAGAGAGCAGGCAGTGGAACAGGATTAAAAGGTCTTTATTCTCAAGGAGGTACCTACCTAGTGGAATGTGAGGGGCAGGCAAATTCTTGGTGCTGAGAAAGGAAGTGATGCAATCAGAGCTGATTGCATTCAGAGTGATGCAATTAGGGAAATGTGGAAGAGATGCCAGCTATAGAACCGGTAGATGGGCTAAGAGCTCAGTGCTAATCGGCAGCATTGAGCTTTCCTGTATCATTTTATCCGACACAGTCGCCGGGATTGCGGCGAACCAGCTTTCGGGTGAGCTTCAGAGACGCTAGGCACCTGACTCATGAGTGAGGACCGGGGCGCACGGTGGGTGCAGAAGAAAGCGATGGTGTGAGCCGGGGACACGACAGATGAGGAGCGAGGAGAGTTGTTACTCGTTTTATTCATTATGAAGCCCACGGCCTTGTGGTCACATTTCCCATCAGTTCCCCTGCCATAGCCTGCCTCCAGGCCGCACTGTGACTTACTAGGCATTGTTCTGCACCCACCTGTAGGGGTGCTCACACGCACACCCATCTCACAGTCTCTAGAGATTCGAGTGCTTGACTCTGGATCCTGGAGTCACAGATTTGGTTTCATCAGAAAAGACCATCCTCGCCTCCACCAGCGCGGTGGGGGTGTGAGTCCTGCCTGTGACGCAGGTGCCTGCTGCCTCACTCTGTACGGGCCGAGCTCCTTCATAAAGCGTCTCATCAGCCCTGCCCTCTTTTTCGTATCTTCTGTTGTTCCCCCACGTGAGGCTGTTAGAGTGGATTCTGCTCCCTCCCACCCTCCTCATCCAGCTCCTTTTGTCTGTCTCTTCTGGTCTCACATCTCTCATGAAGGTTTAGCCTGTCCTTTTCCTCTTTGCTTATGATGCTTATATCCCCAAATTCCCTCCCTTCCCTGCCTCCCCAGTCATTCCAGAATTGTCTACATATACATCTTAATTTTTCATAGCTGCCTGGTCTCCCTCCCCATCCTTACCATATTAGGGTGATTTTAGATTATACTGTGTATAGTTATATATTCAGCATTTCTTCACTTAGCAAATTATTGTAACCATTTTCCCTTTTCTACTAAATACCCTTCCAAAACATGCTTGTTTACTTTTGTGCTGAATTCCTGTAGATGAACCGTTCTCCTTGCACACTCAGTTTGTTTCCTGATTTCTTAACTATTAAACATTTGACCATAAAAGGTTTTCTGTACACAGATCTTTCTTTGCATCTTTCAATATTTCCTTAGGATAAATTCCTAGAAGTGGAATTACTTGGATCTTAGGGTATGAGAACATTTGGGACACTCTCGATACAAGTTGCCAAAATGACCTCTAGAAAGATTATAAGGTGACTTTTTCAGAAGAGAGAAAGTACTTTTCAAGATTTAGAAGATGCTTTTTCTTTTTTCCTTAGGGGGCAGTCAAAACTTCACAGAGGGGAAATCCGGTTAAATTCAGAGCTGGATTTAGATGACGCCGTTCTGGAGAAATTTGCTTTCTCAAATGCCCTTTGCCTCTCAGGTAAGTTACTACTACTTATCAGAGAAGGTATCACATAGTGTTCATTTCGTCCAGAAAGTTAAAGAATTTAGTAGACTTTGTCTTGTTTTCACAGAGTACTTCAGCACAGCCTTATAATTCCTTTTTCTTTTTTTTATTCCAAAAGAATATATATACATAGCATAGAGTATAAAATACAGTATCCATGCTACAGTTATGCATTCCTTATTAGCTGTGTTGATAAAGCTTACCTGTCCAAGAATGCTTTTATATTATTATTGTTGTTGTTGTTGTTATCATCACCACTCCCTTTGTTCTCTCTTCTGTCTGAGATTGCTGGTCTTAAGACTGTCTCTAATCAGGCAGAGAAAGCCCAGCCTCGTGTGATTGGGCATAGGCCTCTTTGTAGAAAAGTACACCCTGGTTTTTCACAATAGTGGGACAGAGGGTCACAGTGGCTCTCAGTTTTTCTGGAAAGGTTCATACACCTGTATGAAACTGCGGAAGTTCTCCAAGAAAGGTTCCTGCCACCCGTCTATACCAGGCTGTGCGGGTGGCCTGTGCATACCACCCAGGCGGCTTTGGGGCTTCTGAGCTGTGCCCGCTGCCCAGAGGAGTGGAAGGGAAGGCCAGGAGTCTGGTTTCTGCCCCAGCTCCAGAGCCCCCCTCCACTCCAGGGCATAGCTCATCCTCTGGGCTTCTGGGATACAGTATGAGACAATCAGGGATTTTACCCAGTGTAGCTTTGATCTGCCAGCCCAGCTTGGAAACTGACTCACTTTCTTCTAGCTCTTTCTACTTTGTGCCCGCTTTTATAATATAATAAGTAACTGTCCTAAAATGTCAGTTTCATATTTTTTGGACATCTGCTTCTTAAACATATTGTTAAATGGCAGTGAAGGTGCTGTGCAGTTTTGCATTTTGTAGAAATATGATTGTGATGATAAATGTTCCATTGTTAATCATTTTTCTCTAGTGAAACTTGCTATCTGGGAAGCATCACTGGATAAATTTGTTGAATCTATTCAGTCGATTCCAGAGGTAATTATACCACTTTTATGCTTGTTTTCAAGGATTGAGTTCTATTGGGGAAAAATAACAAATTTCACACTATAATGATGAATTTAGAAGTACAAGAAAGTAGTAATGAATGGTAAGAAAGCTACACTGAATTTAAGCAGGAAAAAAAAAATCCAGTTACATATAAAATGATAAAGTAAGAAACCTTTTAAAACTTAAAATTCAAATTCTGTGTGTTTATTAGTCGCTCAGTCATGTCCCACTTTTTGTTACTCCATGGACCTGTTGCCTACCAGGCTGCTCGATCCGTGGAATTTTTCAGGCAGGAATACTGGAGTGGGTAGCCATATCCTCCTCCAGAGGATCTTCCCAACCCAGGAATCGAACCTGTGTCTCCTGCATTAGCAGGCAGATTCTTCACCACTGAGCCACCTGAGAAGCTGAAACTCAAAATAGCTTTCTCTAATGGTATAATATTTTTAATGTAACTGAACTGAAAGGAAGTAAAGTGAAATGTTTCCTGTCAAGAAAATTGTGACCACTTTTCTGCATTAAAGAAAAAGATGTTTTGACAAGTTCTGAGAAAATAGCATGAAAAATGCATCTATAGTTATATCAGAATTTCAAACTACATATGTTAAAAATCATGCCTACTGTAATTAACTTTGCTTTTACTATGGAGGAATAGTTATACTTGGGAAAAGAGCCCCTGTTTTTTCAATAAGAGATTAGGAATGTACATCATAGAACATGCTAGTGAAAACGGACACGTGTGTATGTATGTATCTGTTTCTCCCTCTCCCAAATAGGCTTTAAAAGCTGGGAAGAAAGTGAAACTATCTCATGAAGAAGTTATGCAGAAAATGGGTGAACTCTTTGCCCTAAGGTAAAATTTTCTCTGTAAATGATATACTTTGTATATTTAACAACCAGCAGAAAATATCCCTGTACAGTAAAGAGCAAGCATTTGTACCTTAATGGGAATTGCAGCTGTTTTTATTTCATTCGTTATAAGCATGAATAACTCTGACCCATTAGAAGCAGCTGGGCTGTGTTAGGACTTTACTGGAAGAAATTCTGCCTATGCAAGAGAGATCACAATTAATCTACAATAAAGCCCCATCAGAGAGCACAGTTGGTGTTTTCTGAAGGTGGAAAGACACATTCTAGAATTTGAACTATGGTAATTCTCAGTACAGTTCTGTCACTGCATCATAACTCTAAATAGACCTAATTGCTACAGAAAAGTGATATATCATCTTTCACTGACTGAGACACCATAAGATGCCATAGGAAAGTGAAAATGCCACCAGCTAGCATATGAGACAATGCTTTTTTAATCACAATTTTAATTTTGTGCTTCCTGAAATAGCTCTTTTAGTCTTATTTAGATGTAGATTTATCACATTTTATGTATTCCCAGGCATACATAAAAAGGAAAACCTGAGGGAAGTAAGTTGTCTAAGGCAATGACAGCTGAGTCACAACTGCCACCTGTAAGACATCATCACTTTTAAAGATGCCTCCGTTTTCAGAGATGTTAAAAATGGGAAGAACAGTGTCTTAAAGCTGATGAAATACAATAGTGCATCATTTTAAATTAAGTTAAATTAAAAGGCCTTCAGTGTATCTTATTCTTGTAGTTTTCCCAGGGTTTATGGTGTCAAACATCCTGAATCTTGGTGTTTTTCTCACCAGGCAGCATTCTCGGTGCTTCGGCCCTTCTGCATGTGGGATGAGTGACTGGGGTTTGTTGTCAGTAGTGTACCTAAGGGTTGTTGTTCCACATTTTCCTTAGATATTAATACTTGGCCTGGTGAGAAGTGGACCAGCATTCCATCACCCATGCCTTCCTCATAGCTCAGGGACCCCAACTCAGGGCACCAACAAAAATAAACACCCCTATGTCAGGAGCATCCTACAGCCCATCTAAAGCCTCGAGCTTGTGAAGAAGTGGGATACAGAGACTACTCTCTTCTCTGCTCTTAATGATGCGAGCATAATTCCATACAGTGAATTACTATATCAAAACTCAGAAATTAGGACTAAATATGTTTAGGTTTGAGTAGTTTCTATAGAGCCTTACTGTTCTCACCCTAAGTTTTCTTCTCTTTACAATAAGAGTGCTTATGTGTTATTCAAAGGAATGTGGTGAGTCTATGAAGAGATATAGAAGTAGAAATGTGGCAGGTTACATCAGGTGAGAAATTAAGTCATAAATTACAGATGTGGTATGGTCCCACTTGTAGACAAACAACATAAATACTCCTATGTATATTGATGTATATACATACTACCAGACATGCAGGTGTGTGTGTGCAGAGAATCAGATCTGGGAGGACAACAGCAGTGTTGTCAGGGCCTAAAGGAGTTGAGTTGTGGTGTTAGGCTAAAGGGCCTTACCAGTGTTTTATGGATTCTTCTCCGGGGTTTTTCTTTTTTATGGTGGAAAACTATGTGTTACTTCTGCAATGTAAATTTTCTTTTAAAAACAAGCTCAGGCTTCACATGTAAAAGGGTAGAAATAGAGGATTTGTTTATCCAGTGTTTGATTAAATACTGGAAGGATACTGAGGAAACCCTTAGTCGTGTGAATACCTATCCACACACACAGATACGTGCCTGTATATTGTAACAAACTTGAATGAAAAAAGAAGCTTCAAAATTTTTCACATTGGGCTTTCTTTTATCTACTTCATGACAGCCAGTGTAAATATTGAATTAATTTGGTTGCAGATTTTGAAATTTTTTTGTTTACATGTTTCTCAGAAGTATTATAAGAATCAGCATTCAAAACTGTTTTTATAAAACACCATATAAGTAAGAAATTAAATGTATTTACAAAACAGAAATAAACTCACAGACATAGAAAACAAACTCGTGGTTACCAGTGAGGATGAGGGGAGATAAATTAGGAGTTTGGGATTAACATATACACACTGCTGTATATAAAATAGGTAAACAACAAGGTCCTACTGTGTCGCATAGGAACTATACTCAATATCTTGTAATAACCTATAATGGGAAAGAGCTGGAAGAGAATATACATAGATAGATACATGTATCTGTGTGTATAACTGAATCACTTTGCTGCACACTTGGAACTAACACAACATTGTAAATTAACTACACTCCAATCAATCAATAAATAGCTTCAAAAAAGAAAGAAAAGAGAGACCATGATTTTTTAATGCAAGATAAAAATGAAAAGTTATCATTTTCCTTTTTTTTAAGACACCGTATAAACTTGAGTTCAGACTTCTTGATCACCCCTGATTTCTACTGGGACAGAGAAAATCTGGAAGAACTTTATGATAAAACTTGTCGGTTCCTCAGCATTACTCGTAGAGTCAAGGTATGTATTTAGCACTTCTACTGAGAAAGACACAATGTCACTTCTAAGTTGTATGACAGTGTGAAGAGAATTTCTTAATTAAGTAAACGTGTTTAACTGCTTTTGGAGAAATGTCTCTTTTGACTTCTAGACAGATCTCTAGATTTCCCGCTCTCGTTGTCCTGCGTACAGACAGTTTTCAGCTTTCACGTCAAAGGATATTCTGAATTTTACTCTAGAGGCTTGATAAGATTGGTGAGAGTCTGGAGGCCTAGTAGTGCAGTAGGAAATTTCTCATCAAGTTTCAAGCAAGAGTGTGTGAGGTCCAGAACTTTACTGGCAACAACGAGAATAAGAATGAAACTTTCATAAGAATCCTTTAAGACAGATGAAGTGATTGTCATGGGAGAGAGAAGAGCAAGGATGACTGGTGCTTTCTGTGGGCAACAGGTAGAAAGATGGCAGATGTAGAAAGGTTGGGAGGAGGAGGGGCCACATTTGAGACACGTGGAGGGTACAGTAGCAAGAGAACAGTCACAGGAGCGTTGAGAAGCATGGAGGCAAAGTTGAGAGGCAGCTGATGGAATGATGGATGTGGGTAGAGGTGGTCATGACAGAGGTAAACCACATGGGGGAGAGAGTAGAAAACACACTGGACGTTGGTATCGTGTGTGTGTGTGTGTGTGTAGTTCTGTGCCATTTAATCACGTGTAGATCCAGGTAACCACAAGGTCTGGATACAGGTCTGTCCTGTCACCACAAAGATCTTCCTTGTGCTTGTCCCCTTATAGTAACACGACCGTCCCTCCCCCACCATCCCTAACCCTGGGCAGTGACTAATCTATTCCCCAGCTCTGTAATTTAGTCATTTTGGGGTTGTTATATAAATAGAACCGTACCGTGTGTCTTTTAAAATGGGCTTTTTTCAATGAGTGTAACACCCTTGAGATCCTTCCAAGTCATTGTCTGTATCAACCCCTGCCTTCCTGTGAGCTACCTAGACATTAGGAGGGGATTCCATTTTGATTCATCTGTATCATTTTTTAGTATATCTCTCTGCATAGATATTTGGTGGTTGCTCTAGGTAATCCATTATGCATACCTTTATCACAATCCACTCTTTTCGACGTTTCACCAGATGAAATCAAGTAGGGAAACTGTTCGACGTGTATATCCCTCTCCTCTCCACTTTGAGAACTTCATCAAGTTTTAATTTTTGCTTCGACCATCAGCATAATTCAGAGGACTCAAGAGGAGAAGGAAATTCTCTCATATTTACCCATATTTTATTCTTTCCTTTGTTCTTTTTATTTCTTCAATGATGTTCTAAGATTTCTTTTTCTATTGTTTGCTTTCTATTCCAAGAACATTCTTTAGCCATTCTTTCAGGGTAAGTCTGTGAAAGCATAATCTCTTTAGTTTTTCTTCATCTGAGAATATCTAGACTTCCCCTTCATTCCTGAAGCATCTTTTTTTCCCTAGATGAAGGATTCCAAGTGACAATTCTTTTCTTTCAACACCTAAAAATTACTGTCCCACTTTCTTCTGGCCTTCATGATTTCTGAGGGGAAATCTGCTCTATCTCTGTGACATGAATCTCAGATCTTTAGTTATGCTCCCATGAGTCTTTGAGGCTGTCTTCTCTTTTTTTCCTAATCTTTTCAATAAATGGTGCTAGAACAACTGGATAGCTGTTGTGAAAAAAAAAAAAAGAGCCCTAGTCTTGTCTTCACACCATTTCTAAATGAATTAGAGACCTTTAAATATGAAAGGTAAAATTATAAAAGCTCAGTAAGAAAATATAGGGAAAAATGACCTTGGGAAAGGCACAGATTTGTTAGGACAAAAACAAACAAATCATGAACTTTACAGAAAGAATTTGATAAGTTGAACTTCATCAAAACTAAAACTACTGGTCTTTGAAAGACACTCTTTCGAATATGAAAGGGCAGGGACTTCCCTGGTGGTCCAGTGGCTAAGACTCCATGCTGCCCATGAGGGGGTCTGGGCTGGATCCCTGGTCAGGGAACTCGACTCCACATGCTACAACTAGAGTTTGCATGCTGCAACTGAAAATCCCTCTTGCCTCAATGAAGACTGATAATCCCGTATGCCCCATCTAAGTTCACGTGCAGCCAAATAAATAAATACTTTTTTAATTAAAAAATAAAATAATATGAAAAGGCAGATCACAAAGATATTGAGAATATTTCCTCCCACAGGCTGGAAGGAAATATTCTCAATATATAGCCTGACAAAAGACTTGTCCAGAATTCTTTCCACTCAAAAAGACAACTCGGGTTTTTAAATGGGCAAAAAGATTTGAACTGACATCACAACATATGTGAATGGTCAAATGATTGTGAGAAGATGCTCAATGTTATTGTCTGTCAGGGAAGTGCAAATTAAATGTACAGTGCATTGTCACTACACACACATTAGAATGACTAAAATTAAAAGGACTGATGATCCCATGTGTCAGGAGGGATGTGGAGCAAGTGGAAGTTTCATATGTGACTTGTGAGAATATAGTTTGGCACAACCACTTTCCAAAACAGCCCAGCATTTCCTCAGAAATTTAGTTGTTGTGTTACTGTATGATCCAATGATTTGCTCCTGAGTATTTATTCATGAGAAATGAAAATATATGTGCTCACATTGATTTGTACCTGCATCTTCATAGCAGCTTTAGTCATAATAGCCAAAAACTGAAAACAATCAAATGGCCACTAATAGGTGGATAGGAGTGGATAATAGGAATGGGTAAAGAAACTGCGGGATAGCCATACAGTGAAATACCACTCAGCAGTAAAAAAACAATTACCGATCCATGCAACAGCATGGATGACTATCAGGATCATTATGCTGAGTGAGAAAAATCTAGACACAACAGAATACATGCTACTATATTTATAGGAAATTCTAGAAAGGCTAACCTGTAGTTACAGAAAATAGATCAGTGGTCCCTGGAGCCGTGGATTTCAGAGGGGCACAGGGGCTGGGGGCGATGGGAATGTCGTCTCAGTGCTTCCATGGTTGTGTATATGTCCGAAGCCTTCAAAATGTATACACTTAGAATGGAGACAAGGGCACTTTATTGTATGTAAATTATGCCTCAAGGAAAATTTGGAAATAAAGCCTCTTGTGAGAATTCTTTAATGCCATTAAAAAATAGCATCAACCTTGCTCAGAAGCCATACTTAACTGGGGACACATTTGAAAGTGCTCAAGAGTTACGGCTCTTGGATGTCTCCCCTTTTTCTCTTGGAATGAAGATGTTTGGTGGAACCCTGACTGTTGGGATGAAGTGTACAGATTATCGCCATCAAGCAGATGTAGACTTTTGTTGATAACCAGCCTGTAGTGCTGAGTTGGGTCAGGAACAGTTGCTGAGCAATAGCTAAGATAAGCCAGCTGCATGGCAAGTGTGAACTCAGACATCCTACCCCAGTCCTCCTGTCTGTTTCCTTCCTCACATCTTGGCATCCTTTGCTAGTGATGCCTTCAGTGTCCTTCGCATGTCCCTTGTGGACAGGAGTACAGAAGAGCCTAGGATCACAGTCACTAACAATGAAGGTGGTTTGAGCAGTAAACATCCTGCGTGTGTGGCCCAGAGGAGAAGCAGAAAGACAGGAATGTCTTTTAGGAACTTGGGATGAACACTGCATTCAACGTGAAAGTCACAGCTGAAGATGAGAAATGTCAACACAGGATCAATCATGAACATAGATGTGAAGTGACGAAATCAACTAGCTGGAAGAAGATCAGAGAGCCATGTAGGAAGGGGAACCCTGGAGAAAGTGCCACTGAGTCTTCACCAAGCAGCCGCAGTGGATGTACTAAGAGGGCACATGGGGCTTACCAGGGACAGCGCTCCTCCAAGTGGCTAGGCTTCCTCCATGCCCAGTGCAGGGAAGTCAACTCTGCAGCCGAGGAGCAGGTGCGCAGGGTTCCCTCAGTCCCACTACTGGGAAAGTCCCAGAACATGTCCATTCCGTGGTATTTTTAAGAAAAAATTTTTTATGCGAGCTCTATGAAGCTATAATGCTGATTTCTGAATTCTTAACCAAGTACCCAGGAGAATGTATGCATTGCACTTACTCAGTGCTACAAACAAGTGGAAGATAATTCGGGTAGTGTCCTGAAGAATAAAAGAGTAAAAAATAAATACAAATAAAAGTGTGCTTAAATTTGGCACCACCTGCCTCTCTGCTTCTGCAGTACTTTGTTCGCATTCCTTGGGGGCTTCCCTGGTGGCTTAGGCGGTAAAGAATCTGCCTGCAATGAGGGAGACCCAGGTTTGATCCCTGGGTCGGGAAGATCCCCTGGAGAAGGGAATGGCTACGCACTCCAGTGTTCTTGCCTGGAGAATCCCATGGACAGAGGAGCCTGGAGGGCTACAGTCGTTAGGGTTGCAGAGTCGGACACAACTGAGCGACTAACACTTTCTTAGGGGCAGCAGTTCACGCACCACGTCGTGTTGATCTCGTGATGTGTGCAGGTTTGGTTGCTGGTAAGAACCCCTTCCCACCTTCCCAGTGTAGTTTCTCGAGGCAAGGAGAGAGCACAGTCTAGTGTGTCTGCCTCTTCTTACAAGGATGTTAATTTAAACTCCATCTAAAGATAATCACAAAGACCTCATCTCTGGATGCCATCACACTGGAGGTTAAGGCTTCAGCATGAATTTGAGGGGACAAACCATTCCACTCATACTACCAGCAGTCCCCGGAAGTCCACTTTAATTTTTCTTTAGAAGCTAAAGGATTTCCATAGAGGTCCAGTGGTTAAGACTGAGCTTCCTCTGCAGGGGGCACAGGTTTGATTCCTGGCCGGGGAGCTAAGATCCTACATGTTGCAGGGCAAGTAAGCCCACGCGATACAGCACCTGAGCCCATGTTCTGCCAACAAGAGAAGGCTGTTCGCACGCTGAAACTGAAGCACGTCTGAGCGCTGCCACAAAGACCTAGTGCAGTCAAAATGAAAAGAGTTCATGCTACTTTTTAAAAAATCGTAGTTTGAGAAATGCTAAATTTAAGACGCAAGAAGGAAACCAATAAGATGGTGTTTTATAGACAGAAATTCGGGCAGAGCAGTTTAAAAGGGAAGCATTGTGTTTACAAATAGGTTTTGAAATGTTTGCCAAAATTTTGGTGATATCTTTAATAGAGATGTTTGTCTCCAGCATCCACAGAAATAAATAACAGTAAAGCAAAAAAAAAAAAAAAGTAAAGCAAGAAATTTGGGCAGAGGAGAAATTGGGATTAACCACTTATATTTGGGACTTATCAAAACAGTTTTTCTTAAATCAGTCTTAAAATGTTGGGATACATAAACTTGTATAAGAGATGAACTTAGGTAACACATGGACCCTGAAATAACATGTAAGCATGGAAGCAAGTAACACTTCTGTGTTGAAGAGAAACTATTTTGGCTTTCATGGCTCTTGACTGGCCCTATGATGTGTAAACTCACACCTTCCCAGGGATCAGGCTCAACTTTGTGTAGCCAACACCATTTCACATCATGCAGATTTTCCGTTTTTTGGCAATGATAGTCTTCTCCTGAAATAAACAGAATTTCTAAGTCTTTGACTTGAATGCAGTTGGCTCATGTTTATCACAGAAGCAGTGGTGGTGGGATGGAAACAACCCAAGTCCAGGAGACATCCCCACAGACCATCTGGGCACGACTGTGCAGAGTGCAGAGCTGGAAGGCAGGAGGGACAAGATCAGGACTCTGGGAAATGTCATCCACATTTAAGGGGAGGTCCAAGAAGTCTCAGAAAAGAAGGATGTCGGAGGCAGAATTTGGTCCCTAGACGAGAAAAGCCAGAAGGAAGCGTGTTTCCAGGTCTTGTCAAACACTTGACTTAATTGAGGTCTTGCAGTCTAACCAAGAAAGGGTGTTAAAGTTACTGACGAGACATCTGGAGTTTCAGGGGAGTTGAGGTAAATCTACAACTTCTAAGGGCTAAATTGGGTGCTGAGGAAGTGGAGAAAGAAGATGTCTTTAGTCAGAGTTGAAGGAAAATAGAAGAGGGTTGGGTCAGCATTTTGAAAAGAGAAGCAAGCTTAAGGCTGAGCATATTTATAGACCAAGATCAGACAGTCAGTAGCAATGGGAAGAGGAAGAAGGGGGCACTGTTCTAAACATGTATACAACTTGGTGACTGCGGGGTGCCCACGGAGTCTGGAAATACGGGCAGACACGTGTTACCAGCGTGGTTCCAGGTGTTCGCTGTCACAGTGCTGCCTCCTCCTCCTCCCTGTGACCCCATGGGCTGTAGCTCACCAGGCTCCGCTTTCCATGGAATTTTCCAGGCGAGAACACTGGAGTGGATTGCCATTTCCTTCTCTGGGGTTCGCGCTCACAGTTTAATCTGTGCAAAATCGTGGTAAATGTGGTGCAGTGGCACTTTCAGTCAACCCAGACGTGCATCTGTGGTTTGTCTCAAATTTCCACCGACCATACCTGCACTCTCAGCATACATACCTCAGAAATTATCGAGGGGAATCCAAAATCTATTGTTAAAAATTTGTCTTCCAGACTCTGTAATTTCCAGAGGAAAAGTGAGATACAGAGAGATTAAGGAAGTATACCTTGTCAGTGGTCAGACTGACAAGTCTTAATACAGTAAGTATTAAGTAAGCATTACTTGCTTAATACAGTAAGTAATAAAGTAAGTCTTTAATACAAGATTCTGTTTTCTACGAACCCTCCTCAACCAGCTAGGGACACCAGAAGGCAGAACCTAGAGCCTCTGCACTTAAGCGTTAAGAGCAGTGCCATCTAGCGGTGATGTGTAGCAGGTCAAGTTTTGTGTTCGGGAATTTTTGACAGTGGGACTTAAGAACAGTTTTAGTATTGTAGAGGGTAATCATTCTTTTTGCCATCTTAAGGCCATAGTAAAAGAATCGTATTTCAAGTTTGCTTTTATTAACTGCTTAAAATTTACCAAGTGCAGTGATGAAAAACTAGGGCTCAAAAACTTTTAGATTTTCCATCAAAATACTACGAATATAAGAGCTTTGGTATGCCAAGTATTTTTTGCAGTCTGTAAATTACAAAATGTCCCAGTGGATTCACAGAAAGGAGACAGGTAGCACTGGCAGGTTGCCTTTGGAGAGAGAGCTGAGGAGTAGGAATTGAAGGGACGATTTCTCACCACATACGTATTTGAAACTTGGAAATGTGAAGCAGGCAACTGTTCAGTGAGTTCGTTTAAACACCCAGGGCACTTTCTGAGATGTTTCCTGCTGCAGGTCATGAATGAAAAGCTTCAGCACTGCATGGAGCTGACAGATCTGATGCGAAATCACCTGAATGAGAAGAGGGCACTCCGCCTGGAATGGATGATTGTCATCCTTATTACCATAGAGGTAAATTACAACTTTTATGACGGTAACTTGACAGAAGATAATAGCAGGAAAGTACATGACTTTGTCCTAAATACTTAAGTCTGTTTGCAAGCGAGGCAAGTTACAAGTGACTGTGGTAGTATTTTGAAAATGCATTAAAGTATGATTTTTGGAAAAGTTCCCCATTTTATCTGGCCATGCTGCGTGGCTTGTGGGATCTTAGTTCCCTGACCAGGGACTGAAAATGGGCCACGGCAGTGAAAGTGCCAAATTGTAACCACTGGATTGCCAGGAAATTCCCTCATTCTAAGAGATGGCATTTAGAGAGTTCTGGTAAATGTGTAATGTACAGCCCAGCAGCAAGCGCTTGTGCCTCAGATGTGCAGCTTGCCCAGTGGGATAGACAGAAGTTCTTTCTTCAGGAGCATTTTTCATTAATCACAATCTGAAAAGTCATCGTAAGTTTGTACCAGTGATTTGTCATAATACTTCTTTTTATTTGTAAGGTACTGTTTGAACTGGGACGAGTATTTTTTCTGATTAAGTGATGACCAAAGGAAAAATATTGTTGCAAGAGATACTCGAGTTCTACAATCAAACATTAAGTGTTCATCTGCTGAGATATCTTTTAATACATATTTTTTCTTAAATCAAGGCATTGTTACAATGATCTTTTTCAGTTTCTAGTATTGCTGCTTGAATAAAAACTATGAAGAACCCAGCATCTGGGTCTATAATACTGGTAATTTGAAAGGATAATGTTCATTTTATATTTTAAAGAACTTTGGATAATCTTGGTATCTGGCAAATTTGGGCATTGCTCCTAACCTACCCCCAGGGAGTCCCAATCTTGGCCCTAAGAAAACATAACAAAAACTCCAGTTCTGAAATATAGGAGATAGGCTTTAATGGCAGAAATTAACTTTGCATCCTGTTTTTATGTGGCAAATGAGTCTGCTCACTGGCACTTTCATTAATCCATACTTTCCATCCTTTCACTACCAAGTTAAGTCAAAATATCCTTCCCACAGAGGAACTTTTTCTCACACACTTCAGGGAGATTTAAAATACCAGGTACAAAAATTTTAATATTTATATGCTCTCTTGAATTGATACTTTATCTTCAGCTTATTTTTATGCATATTCCCCCCTGCCCTACTACCCTCTCCACCACATGAATTTAATGGTTTTTTTTTCATGTTATATACATATCCAGAGTATGAATGTTCTAACTTGGGACACTGTCACTTTACAGCTTAACTGCTACACAGTATGTAGGGAATACACACGTATCTGTACCCTCACTGATGAGTAATGTGTATTTGCTGGAATAGTGTGGAGTTGCCCATCCTGGTGTGTCTCAGCGTGCTGCAGGTATCACTCTTGAGTACCACCAGGTGCCTATGCCAGGGGTACCCAAGGACTTTCCAAGCAACATGTGGGCATAGATAGTTCAAGAACTGCTTTCCAGATCAAGTTCCACACGTAAGTACTTTCATAAAAATGTTGCGCCTTTGCTCACACCTCTAAGCAGAGTATTGAGCCTGCTCTCCATTTTCCCATCTCACAAATGTACAGAATGCATCTCACCCATCTTCATTTTAATTTGATCCACTATATTTTAAAACCTTTAAGTATATTTAACCTGCATTTAAGGACTTCCCTGGTGGCTCAGCAATAAAGAATCCACCTGCAATGCAGGAGACATGGGTTCAAACCTGGGTCAGGAAAGATCCCCTAAATAAGGAGATGGCAACCCATTCGAGTATTCTTGCCTGGGAAATGCCATGGACAGAGGAGCCTAGTGGGCTACAGTCCCTGGTATTGCAGGAGTCTGGACAGGACTTAGTGATTAAACCATCATCATCAACCTGCATTTAAAAATTCTTTAGAAAGCCAAACAAGGTGTTTTTGAAAAAACACTGACTGGGTTATCTCTATACTCTTTCTTGTTTCAATCGAAATGCAGCATACTAAAATGGTTTGTTTCAAATGTTAAGTCTTAATAAAGAGATTCATTTCCATTTCAGTGTAACCACAGAGACAGACAGACACTGGGAGGAAAAGAGAGAATGTAGAAACTGTTTATGATTGTTTTAAATAAACTTATGATTTCACTGAAAAAAAAAGAAGAAAAAGCCAGACAAGGACAATCTGAAATACTGGTCAACAGAACTTTCTTTAATGGAAACCATGTTATCCGCCCCTCCATCCCCCATTAAGAGGACATTTCCAATAAAAACTTTCCCTTAAGTACCCATGTGTACAATTTGTTTCGCTCAACTGTGTAATATAATTTTAGTTAACAGAGAGCACAAACATTTAGTGCATTATGGTCATGGCAGTTTAAAATTTAACACTTCAATTTATACACAGATGTGTTACAAAAAACGAGATAACAAAACCTTCAAGCATAAAAATTAGGATATTATTTTGTGGAGGAAATATAACACCAATAGTCTTTCAAGAAAAAGGAACATTTAATCATTTACTTCTGTTTAAATGGATCATGATGGACATCATTATGGTATTACATTCCACTAAAACATTAAGGATTGATGTTATACTCTATTTATATTACTTTATTATATGACTTATAAGTTTTTTAAAAATATCAATATTCATGTCAGACATTATATCTTTTTAAGTATTTAAATTTATGATAAAAGCTTCAACTTAAGTAAATTATTAGCAGTTTTTAAATTATTTTAGGTTTAATACAAGCAAAACTGTTTTTGAAGATCACAGCTTCTCTCAGAACAAAATGTCCATGAGATTATACTAGAATACTGAGAGCCTAAATAATATTGATAATATTCATCAGTGGCTCCAGAAGCACTCCTCAAAATGGCACCAAATTTCTGTCACAAAAGCACAGTGGTTAAGACTCACCCGGGTTTGAATCCTTCCACCACACCACCTAGTAGAGTATCATGCTGGGCAAATCACAGAGCCTGTCTGGGCCTCTTCCTCACCTGTAAAATGGGTTTACCAGCAGCACTACTTCATAGGGTAACAGAGATAACAGTGAGTACATCTGGGTAAAAACCCACATAAGACTCTGAGACTAAATGAAGACTGAATCAAAGCCCCAGCGTCCCCCTTGGAATCCTTGGTTAAGGAACATGTCTGAGACTTAAAAGTGCATGCTGCATCCACATAAAGTGATTCATTTAAATATAAAGCAGTATTTCCACTGTTTAAAATAAACTGCCTCTTCAATGCAAGCCCAAAGAGACCTTTTAAACTCTACACATCTTACATATTATTTCTAAATTTGACAAAAATTAACCATATTCATTTATTTTTAATTGTTGTCTACCCCTTAAGAGCAGTTTTCCCAAATAGGGTCCTCATGCTTTCACAGTGAGTGATTCCTGTGTTCCACAATCAGAACCAGGTTGCTGCTGGCAAATTTCTTTTTTTTACAACTCCAAGGAAGAATCCTTAGGCTTGCTCAACTCAAAGCCACAAAGTTAGAGCCTAGTTATAAATTTCTACTCAGATTTATATAGATTTTAAGTGACCCAATCTCAGAAGACTTCATTCTTTCTCCAATCCAACCATTTTCTCATGCTATCTCCTGCCTTTATCAAGTGTGTGTGTGAAAGAGAGATGTGTGCTGGGAGAAGGTGGTTAAAGATGAGAAATAGAGGAAGGTTTTAGGAATACTTCCAATCCAAATCTTTTTACTTTTGACTCCCTCCATTGCTTCTGAATTGCCATTTTTTAAGGAATAGATAAGGTCACTATTCCAAATTCCCTTTCCTCAGGGGAGCTTTCCTCCCAGAGGCTTAACAAAACAGAACTTTTCAAAGGCCACATTTTTATTCCTTTTGCACAATTTGAAACAAAACATTTACTTAAAACAGATTTAAACATTTCCTTAAAAACAAAATGTTTCAACATCCCCTTATAACAACAGGCTGGAAAGTATGCATGCAAGACTGCAAAGCTTACAAAGATAGTCTTCTTTCACAAATTCACCCAGTCCCATATAGAGTGCTAAGACGTTAAGGGCCCTACTCCCACTTCCGTGAAGGCAGCAGGTGACAACTAAGCAATCTGCTTAACCTACGAAGAAATCTATAGAAGAGATGGTATGAAAAACGAAGAAAGGGGAACACAATAGCGATGTAAACAGAACTTCAAATTTTACTTCAGATTTAGACCTCACTATGTGAATGGAAAAACTCCAAACAGAAGACTGTGGGTAAGTATGAAATTTGACTTTTAATTTAGCTTCTATACATGAGACTTGCAAATCTGCTTGTCAACAGTGTTTTAAAACACCAACAGGAAAGTTCAGACCTGGGACTTCCCTGGCGGTCCTCCCGTACAGGTCTGATCCCCAGTGGGGAAGCCAAGACCCCACATGCCTGCTATAGGGTGTAAGTCAGTATCAAATACCTGATGGTTCACTAATGAAATCAGAGCTGTAGACCTCAAGTTTTCTTCCTGTGACCCTTTTAGATCCTGTGTTCCCTGGCCCTGGGGGATTCTGGGAGGCAGCCAGGCTTTCAGCCTTAAGCTGGGGAAGGCCTGGGCAAAGCAGCCAGCTGTTACCTACCTTCACACCACATTTTGTAAATTAATGTTTTAACAGCCACTTTTTCTCAAATTAGGACTGTGCTGCAACTCTACCGATCTTTAAGAAAACTTCCCCCGAACAACCACCTCCATAAACAAGATGATACACATACAGTTATCACCAACTGGGACAGCAGTTTTTCCCAATAAATTTCATCATTTCCTTCACTTTCAAACAGAAACTCCAGTCACACAACAATTCTATAAACAAAAATTCAGACTCGCTTTTTTTTTTTTAAAGAAATATTTCAAAACCAACATCTTTAAAAATCAGTTGTACTATTAATACATGTTACAACTTTTTATGACTCATGCAGCTGGCTGAAATCAGTCTCAAAAGACTACATATTACATGATTCCACTTATATAACATACTAGAAAGACAAAAGAGTGATGAAGGAGAAATCAGTGCTGCCAGGGAGGAGGAAGATTAGAGGAGGTTAGCATGTAAAAGGACTGTGTGGGGGAGTTTCCAGAAGAGAGAGAACTGTCCTGTATCCTGATTGTGTTTACACAAACGTAGACATACACAAACTTCACAGACCTGTACACCAAAAGGGGGGCAAAAATTACTGTAAGATAACTCAAAATTTTTTCAAATCAGTGATTATTTTAAAACTTATTACTGGTCCTATCACTAATAAGGCATTGTGCAAAGTCCCCTTACAGATATTTTTTTTACACTCAACCCTGTATATCATCCCTATTTTAACAAAACGAAAAACTAAGGCTCAGACATTAAATGCATAACACAACAAAGGCCAGGCAGCATAAGGGACAGAGTAGGATTCCAACCCAGATCTGACTCCAAAGTCTATATATTCTTAACCACAGTAACATATACTCCCTTCTGTCTACTCATAAATACCAATCACTGTCTCTCCCAATGTCAGGTGGCTATTAAGTTTTCTCCTGTAACTGTGGTGAACATGACTCTGCAGCAGCAATGTCCCACAGA